AACATTAAATGCTTAATTTCTGTTTGTTAAGGAGACAAGTCAGGAGACGAGGAAGGATTTTGTTAGCTTATTTATCTTGCTTTCTATTCAATTGCATGGGTGTATATTCTGTATTTATTGACATGCGTAATTGTTCTTAATTTGTCTGTTGGGGTGGAATTGTTATATTTGTTGCTGTTCATATGATATGTTATGAGCGGCCTACAAATAAACATACAGTGGTACCTTGGTTCTTTTTTTCTTCTTCTTCTTTGTACCATGGTTCTTGAACGTAATCCGTAATTCCGGCACCCCGTAAACAATAGCCGACAGCCGCATCAGACGTTCGGCTTCTGAAAAACGTTCGAAAACCAGAACACTTATTTCTGGGTTTTCGGCATTCGGGAGTCGAAATGTTTGAGTACCAAGGCCTTAGAGAACCACTGTATATTGATGGTGGCTTTTTTTAAAGAATGGAATAAAAATCAAAGGGATGGTTTGCAAAACGAGACGTGAGACCCAATTAAAGCCACTGGGCTCTTTGCCATTTATTGCTGCTTATCAAGGCTGCGGAGGAGAGTATCTGACCTGCCCAAAAATCTACAGGAATGTGTGGAGAAACCTGTCCCAGGGACCCTCAATTTCTCTTTTCAAAACCGTGGCTTTCCCCCTCCCAAAGAATCCTGTGAACTGTAGTTTGTTATGGGTGCTGTGAAGTTGTTAGAAGGCCCCTATTTCCCTCGCAGACCTACAATTTCCAGAGTTCCCTGGTAAGAGGGATTGGTTGTTAAACCACTCTGGAAATTGCATAGCTCTCTCTTAGCATCCTTCAACTACCGTTCCCAGGATCCTTTTGGGGAAGCCATGGCTGTTTAAAGTGGTATGATACTGCTTTAGAAGCATAGTGCAGATGGGGCCCAAGTGTGACCCCTTATGTGACACAGACCCAGTAATAATAATAATAATTTATTACTTATACCCTGCCCATCTGGCTGGGTTTCCCCAGCCACTCTGTTGCCGTCGCTAAGTGCCTGGAATGGGAATAAAAAAAAAAATACTTCCAAAATGCACGCTGCCACTCTAAATGGTTGTGTCCCGTGCACCCCGGCCTTGAACACAGCTAAAGCCATAGCTAAATTAATAGATTTGATTGTGAATTTAGGGAACACAGCCAGCCAACACCAGTAGTTTAGCTCCTGGACAGGAGAGAGTGCCGGAATCTAGGTCATGTGGGCACAGTCTTCCTTACTGTGGCAACACACCCTCCAACATTTCTCCAATGAAAATAGGGATGTCTTATTCAATCATAATAATAATACTGAACTCCAGGCCTACCTGGTGGCAAGTTCCCAGTCCGGGGTCAACCCACATGTCCAAAGTCCAAACTGAAGCATAGTCCTGCAGAAATCCTGGAGCAGTCAAGCCAGTGCCAGATTACAAAATAGGCAGCAGCTTACAGGCCCCACGCCTTTTAGGAGTCCTGCAACAAAAGATCAAAATAACATTGATTTGACCTGGAAAGCAAATTACAAACAAGCTTTCTTAGTTCAATGGGGTGGGGCTGAGATTCTGACCGCTTAGGGGCCTCCATAGGGTTTAATCTGGTGCTGATCCAAGCTGAGGTCCACCAACAAGAGTGTTAGAGCAGACACAGCACCTCAGCTCTGCTTCCCTTTTACACTTTGCATGCTGATTGCAGCATCTGGACTTGATGAGGCCTGTGACCCTCACTTGTCCCAAGCCTAATTCAGCAATCACACACCTCCTCCCAGATCTAGCGAGCCTCACCTGGTCAGCCAGGGAGCTGGGCTGTGGGGCCTTGGCTGTGTGATAGGAGTTCTGAAGTCTTAGATATATGGTAATGTTCATTAGCGTACCAACCAAGCACGTACATAGATCAGCACAGGAAGACCGACCTGGAACCATTTTTGATTCCCAAACTGTCCCAAACTGAGCAAATGTTTTCTCTGCAAGGTCAAAGTGGGAAACCTCAGAACAAAAAGCTAAACTGATTGTGTAGGCTTATGCCTGTTACTTTGCCAGAGAATTGCTTACCCGCGTCCCCAGGACCGAGAAGAGAATAAAAAAAATTCCAGGAAAGTTTCTTCTTTGGAGAAAAGAGTTTTATTGCAAATCTGTGCACAGAGACAGCCAGCAGAATATAGTTTCTGAAATCTGACTGTGTTGTTACCATGTTCAGCAAGCATTTTTATACCTGAAAGCATTCACCCTCCTCCCATACCTCCCCCCAAAACTTCCCCAATCAGCTGGCAAGTTTTCAACTCATTCCCTTTTAGGGTATATCAATATTTGCTGGCTAAGGCTGCTAGCTAAGCACTTCCTCTGCTGGTTAAGCATTTTCTCTGCTCAGTAAGCACCCCCTCCCACCTCCTTGTACACGTGTCTTCTTTTGCCAGCTAAGCATTCCCTTCGTATCTCTTATCTTGCATTACTTAAAGCAGAAGCAAAGCAGGAAACATCTTGCTAGTGGTTTTTAGTTAACAGCAGTTTCTGGCTAGGCAGGAAACGACCTTCTGACCTGTGGCTAACATCAGCAGTTTCAGATAGCTGGTTAGGCAGGAAACGGCCTCTTGACCTGTCTGATTTAGATTCTGCAAGCGACTGCAGTCTTGAGCTGTTTAACCACAATAGCTTAGTGCAGGAATTTACTATGTGTAGATAATATTAATGATTAATCGTTCCCCTCTCCCTTCACTCCCTCCTCTTCTTCTGAACAACCTAATACTTAGGTTCGTTCTGGGGTATGGGCCTATACTCCCTCATCACAGCGATGACCGTGGGCCCTAGCTTCCGTGACAGGAGTCTTTGCATCATTTGCTGCAAGCATTGCAATAAGCAGGGGATACAGAGGTAAAGAAGCAAAAGGATTAATAGCGGTCCTGCTAATAATACTATAACATTCCTGAGCCAACTGCCATCAGGGAGCCAGGAATACAACCAACCCCATGCATCACTCCCTGTGGCTTTCAGCGGGTTTTCAGCTATCATTGTTTCCATGTGGTTGATGGTGGCTGAAATACTGACATTATTATCTGGGATGAACATACAACAATGAGAATGAACCAGGGCACAAACCCCACCCTTTGAGGCCAACATCACATCCAAAGCATAGCGATTCTGTAGGACAACCTCCCTCATAGCAGTCACCTCTCGATTGAGCTCCTTCAATGCTTTTATGGTATCATTGAATAATCCTTCTGTCCAATTGGCCAGCAGATGGAGATCTCTATAATTCATGGCTGCCCCTAAAGAAGGTAGCAGGGCTCGTGATATCTGGGTCCCAATATAGTGGTTAATAGGTGTATTAACTGCCCTGCGGTTACGCAGCCTGAGAGATGTTGGTAGCTTTTCCACCTTATATAAAAGGGGGATCACCATTCCCAAGGTACAGACTCCAGTAAGGTCTCGGGGAACAGTTTTGAATGCTGCATCGCCACAAATCAACCATAGTTCCTTCGGAAGAAGGCGACTGGTGTTTCGGCGTTGCTCTGACCACTGGAAGGCTTGCGAAAACAGAAGGCTCATGTGCCATTGCTCCTCAGTGAAGTTTAACAGGGCTATAACGGAAGAGTTGGATCTAGAGCTTTCGTGGAGGTGGTGCATGTCTGTCAGTAATTTGGAGCTAGTATCAGATTGATAACACCGGGAGGTATTACCATAAGGAAAGAGGGCGGTACAGGTCCTATTGAATACAAAATTTAAGACATAATGGCAATTGGGGTAAATCCCTCTTAGATTTGACCCTTCAGAAAAATTCAAACAAATAAAGGCTGGCTCGGACAGGGCTATTTTTACAGGTGGCCATTGAGCTTCCTCGGGGTTCAACGTATTTTCTATGCTAAAGATGGTATCAATGGGAATTCCGTGTAGCATCAAACCTGGCCGTTGCGCATAAGGTGGTATATGCATACACAGCCAACAATCGGAGAGTTGTAACATAGTAGCGAACTTAAACATATCCTTGATATAAACATTGTCTTCCCACATCTTATGGTAATCATCTCCCCTGGATGTCTTGTTTAACAAACCTGTTCCCCCTTGGCCTTGCTTGCCAGTCCTTGCCTCTCCCCCTACAATAGCCAACATAAGATATACTATGAGGATCATCATGGGGATGGAAGGATCTGGCCGTCGTCTCCCGCAGAGCCTGTGACGCTCATGCCAGCAAAAGAAAACACACATCCATAAGACAAGAGCGGTTGAGATAACCCCTATCCACCAACCCCAATTCTTCCATGGTTCCTCCCACCAATATTCAGGGGGTGTGCTCATTGTTGAAGAGCCCACTGATCTTGGTGCCCGACTACCTGTTGAGCCTCAAGGATGAGAGCCCACCGGTGAGCTGATATGTGGGTCAATTTTTCTACTAACCCTGTCGGGTGGATTGAACTCTCGTGCTGCCTCCCTAGTGACCAGAGGTGGTAATTCTTACTGGCACTTGTTTAGCAATTTCAATGCACACCTGGTTAAGGCTCCCACCCCTGCAATACTTGCATCAAGATAGGTTCCGTCTCATCTATCGCCTGGATTAAGAGTAGGACCTGGTCTATCAAATGAGGTTGGTACACTGCTCTACCGCCCAGATAACAGTTGACTACCCTCCCACAACAGCAAGAGCGGTCCAGAACTCGATAGATTTCGACCGTCTCTGCAACTTCCCGTATGAGCACTATCCACGCGTGCTGGACAGTGGTGTGGGAGAGGAGCCACAACGGGGCAGTGGGGTGTTTCAATACGGCAATCTCATCAAACCCCAGCTTCCAATAGCCAATGAGCACGCCATCTCTTACTACCGGCAAGACGAACCAGTCGTAGCAGAGGCCAGCAGGCCAATAAGGGCGGTATGGCTCAGTGGGGTCAGGGCTGTGGGACATAGAGCAGATAACAAAAAGGAAAGAGAAAGTCCTTATGGAAATATTAAATGTCCTGGTGAACTTCCTGGATTAGTCCCGGCACGGAGTTGGGGACGCTGCCCGCGGGCGCCCCTCCCATCCAATTCTTCAGCTGTGCGTTGAGATATCAGCTTCCGGTGTGATATCAGCAGAGCGGTCGTCCGCCAGGCGTCTGGAGATGGTCAGCCGAAGGGAGTTCTCTGGATCTGGTGTTACTGTCCAATCCGAAATGGCTTTCTTCACTCGAGTATGGTGGACCCACGGGGTGATGCCGGCAACCTTCACAGCAGTAGGGGTAGAGAGTAGCACGGTGTATGGTCCCCTCCAGCAGGGCTGTAGGGGGGCTCGCTGCCAGTCTTTCACCCACACTTCGTCACCTGGCTCGAACTGATGGAGCGGTTCAGTTAACACACATGGGGTGCGAGCCTGGGTCCACCTGTTGAGATAAGAAAGAACTCGAGAGAGTGACTGTACATAATTATTCAATTGCACATCTTGGCTAACATACGGATTTAACATTCTAACATATGGGACTGGTCTCCCAAACAGAACTTCAAAAGGTGACAAGTGGGTCCGTTTTGACGGAAGACTGCGGACCCTGAGTAATGCCAAGGGCAACATGGCCACCCAATTAGACCCGGTTTCCTGTGTCAGCTTGGACAGCTGATTCTTTAGAGTCCTGTTCATTCTTTCTACCTTTCCAGAACTCTGGGGTCTATAAGCAGTATGCAGCTTCCAGTTGATCTGAAGCGCTTTAGCCAGTCCCTGTAGGACTGCATGAACGAATGCTGGTCCATTATCAGATCCTATGGACCTTGGCAACCCATAGCGAGGGATGATTTCCTTAAGCAGGCACCTGGTCACTTCAATTGCCTTTTCAGTCTTTGTTGGCCATGCCTCGACCCATCCGGTGTAGGTGCACACTGCCACCAGCAGGTAGCGATATAATCCACAACGGGGTAATTCAGTGAAGTCTACCACAAGATCTTCCATTGGTGCAGTTCCACTGTGCTGAACTCCCGGAGGAGCCAGTGGTCCGGTTCTGGGATTATTCTTTTGACATAGCAGGCATTTTCTGGAAACCTGGGCTGCCAGTTGATAAAGGTGGGCTATATAGAAGCACTTTGCCAGCTGCTTGGTGGTAGCATCTGGCCCCATGTGGGTTGACTCATGGTATCTCTGAGTTATTTGCCGAGACAGGGACTCTGGAATCCATATCCTGTCATCAGGTGTGAGGTACCATCCTTCGTTGGTCAATGTCAACTCCTGGGCGTCTGCAGTGTCCCTTTCCTGTTTTGTGTAAGCCGGCGTGTCAGCGGTGCTTAAAATCTCTTCTGGGATCAGTGCTCCAATGATCGGAGCTGTGGCCAGTTCCCGGGCTGCTTCCTTGGCCACTTTGTCTGCCAAACGATTTCCTCTGGCCACTTCCCCTGGTCCAGTTGTGTGTCCATAACAATGGATAACCGCTACCGCTTCAGGTTCCCATACAGCATCCAGAAGGTTCAACAAAGCTTGTGGGTGGGCCACCTGGTTTCCTCTGGAGGTAAGCAAACCTCTCTCTTTCCATAAGGCTCCATGGGCGTGTAAGGTCAGGAATGCATACTTAGAATCAGTATAGATGTTTATCTTCTGCCCCTTTGCCAGGCTCAAGGCTCTGGTAAGCGCAGTTAGTTCTGCCAGCTGGGCCGATGTTCCAGGCGGGAGTGACTTTGCTTCGACCACCTGGTCGTCCAGGGCTACCACCGCATAGCCTGCTTTTCGCTGTCCAGCCTCGACAAAGCTGCTTCCATCCACAAACCATGAAAGCCAGTGGGGGTCTGCTTCGTCTTTGAGATCAGGCCTGCTGGAATATACTTCGTCCATTACTTCAATGCAATCGTGCGTCTGCTCCTCACCTTCTCCTACCGGCAACAGGGTAGCTGGGTTGAGGGCGGTGGTGACCTGGAACTTCAGACGTGGGTGCAACAATAACATCTGACACTTTCTCATCTTCGCTTGGGAGAGGAAATAGGTACCCTTCATGTCAAGCAGTGCTGGGACTGCATGCGGAGTCACACAAACAGTGTCTTGGCCAAAAGTAAATTTGTCAGCTTTGTTCAGTAGGGTGGCTACTGCCACAACTGCTCTCATACATGGCGGTAAACCTTGTTCTGTGGGCGTCAGGCGTTCAGATAGGTATGCCACGGGTTGTTGCCAGCTCCCCAATTTTTGGCATAGCACTCCCTTCGCTGTTCCCTGGTCCTCATCCACAAACAGGGAAAAAGGCTTCTCAGGATTTGGGATACCCAGCGCTGGTGCTTGCTGCAATGCCCTTTTCAGATCCTTGAAGGCCTGCCGTTGCTCCTCTCCCCACACAAAGGGGTCCTTCTCAGTTCCTCTGGTTGACTCGTGCAGAGGCTTGGCAATTGTGCTGAAGTCAGGGATCCATATTCTACAGAATCCTGCCGAGCCCAAGAAGCCACGAAGTTCTCTGCGATTCTTTGGCTCTGGAATCTGGATAATGGCTTGCTTCCTTTCTTCTCTAAGGGTCCGTTGCTGATGGGATATATCAAATCCAAGGTATTTTACAGTGGGTTGGCATATTTGGGCCTTTTTCTTAGATACTCGGTATCCTGCTTCAGCCAAGTGATTTAACAAATCCTTGGTGGCTTTCATACACGTGTCCTCGTCTGAACAGGCCAAAAGAAGGTCATCTACGTACTGCAACAAGACCCTGTGTGGGCTGGTGGGGAAGCTAGACAGGTCCGAGGCCAATGCTACCCCAAAAAGGGTTGGAGAATTCTTGAAACCTTGTGGAAGCCTCGTCCACGTATATTGCACCTTGGTGCCTGTTCCTGGATCCATCCATTGAAATGCAAACAGGGGCTGACTTTCCTCTGCCAGACGGCAGCAGAAGAATGCATCCTTCAAGTCCAGTACCGTGAAATAGCAGGCAGTAGGAGGTATTAAACTCAACAGCGTGTAAGGATTGGGCACATTGGGGTGGAGGGTTTCCACGGCTTGGTTGACCAATCGGAGGTCTTGGACCGGGCGGTACGTGCCATCCTCCTTCTTTACCGGCAAGAGTGGGGTGTTCCACTGAGATTGACACTGTCTCAGGATGCCATGGCGAAGCAACCGTTCCAAATGTATCCATACTCCTTCTGCAGCTCGCCGGGGGATAGGGTATTGGTTCACAGCCACAGGGTTAGCAAACGGCTTGGGCTTAATTATTACAGGTGGGATGTTCTTTGCCATTCCGGGTGGGTTGCTTTCTGCCCATACACCAGGGTTAACTTCTTGCAGGAGGTCCTCTGGAATAGTCCCTCCTCTTCTTTTACCATCATTAAGCGCCAGTGTTCCCTTAAGGGTACCTCTAAGGAAAGCTCTCCTGTTTGCCCTGTAGTCATTGTCACTTCTCCTGTCGGTTGAAAGGAGATCTGGGCTTGCAATTTTGATAGCAGGTCTCGGCCCAATAATGGGATGGGACACTCTGGTATATACAAAAACTTGTGTTGGACTACTTGGCCGCCCAGGCGACAGGCAACAGATTGCAAGAAGGGGGCTCTTTGTGATTTCCCGGTGGCTCCTATTATGTTAATTGTTTGCTTGGTGGGCTTGGACACTGGCATGGGCAAAACAGAGTGGGCGGCTCCTGTGTCAACCATAAAGGGGATAGTTTGGTTCCCTGTTTGTATTTTGACCATGGGCTCACGGGAACCTAAAGCAGCTGGGCCCGGTCTGTCCTAGTATTCTTCCTCCTCTCTCAGGCTCATCATGCCGGGCTGCCTTTGGGCTGAGGGGTACCAGGGAGGTCCCTGTCCACGTCCTCTACCCCTGCTAGCATTTGTCGATGACCAAGGTCTCAGTTCCGGTCCAGGTCCCCTGGGGATTGGGCCTGGGGCTCGTTCTCCTCGTCCTCTCCCTCCTAAGTGGGCCTGTGGGCATTCTCCTTTCCAGTGCCCTTCCTGCCGGCAGATGGCGCACTGATTCCTCCCCAGGCGGCCTTGCCCTCCTCCCCGGGCACTTCCTCTTTTCTGAGGGATGGGTGCGGTAGCCTGCAACGCCATCAACTTCTTTGCTTGATACTTCTCCTTTTTCTTTTGTTCCTCGTCTTCCCTCTGATTGTAAGTGGTTTGAGCCAGTTCTAACATCCACTCAAGGGTGTGGCCCAAGAACCCCTCGTGTTTTTGAATTTTTCGGCGGACATCGGGCGCTGCCTGAGCTACAAAAGCAGCCTTTACAATAAGGGCGTTGGCAGCCTCATCTGGGTCTACAGGAGTATACTGACGGTAGGCTTCCTTCAGGCGTTCCAGGTAAGCCCCTGGGGCCTCTTCATTCCCCTGCACTACCTCTCTGACCTTCACAAAGTTGGTGGGTTTCCTGGCTGCCCTCCTCATACCATTTAACACATTCTGGCGGTAGGTAGTGAGGGTTTTCTGGCCCTCAGTAGTCTGATAATTCCAATTCGGTGTACTATCAGGGTATCCTGTTATAATGTCTGGCTCCGGTGTTCCCTGTGCTCTCATGTGTACTCGGGCTTCAACATGGATTCGCCTAGTTTCTTCTGTGGTTAACAGCGCATCCATCAAATACTGCACATCATCAAAAGTGGGATTATAGGTTTTAAAAATCCCTTCAAACAATTTTATAATCTTTGCTGGATTCTCCTCAAAGGAAGGATTTTGATTTCTCCAATTGCAAACATCTGCACTTGAAAAGGGTATATGCTGGACCGTGTAGGTCCGTGGTGCCTCCGCCCCACCAGGCCCTGGAGGTCCCGGTGGGTCATAAACCCTTCGGAGGGGCATTACTCCTGCTGCCTGACCCTTCCTGGTTTTCTCATATTGTCTATGAGACATAACTCTCTTCGCCGCCTCTCCCCACTTACGTTGCCATTTCTTTCTCCTGTCCGGGGTACAACATTCTGCTGCCTCAACTAACAAGGGGCTCACATCCAACTTCTCCGCATAGGGGCTCACAAATGCCGCAATGCGTTCCTCTTGTTCCTTGGTCCACTTCTTACTCTCCCCCGTCCATCTTATCAACATCTCTATAAATTCCTCATCATCTCCTTCCTCCTTCTTTTCCTCTAAATCATCATTCATTAACAAGTCGCTGTCCTTTTGTTCTGGGCTTGATGGGGGGCTTGCTTGGGCTTGGGGGCCAGCTCCTCCCGGTGCTTGGGGACCTGGGCCTGGGGGAATTGCTGGAGGGGCAGTTGGTGGAGCATAGGGTGGTGGTGGTCTGATGACTCCCCCCTCCTCATCTTCTGGGTCTGGTATCACCGGGGGCTTTTCTGCCTTCCCTGCCGGTCGAACTGCACAAATTGTATTTCGTGGGGCGTCGCCTTGGCAGGCTTTCAACCACGGCGGATTCTTTTCTACATTGGTTTTCCAAGTAGAAATGTAAGGGATTTGGTCTGGGTGGACATTCAATATGTTCTGATATAATGGGCTGATTAGTTGCAAATCAAAGCTTCCTCCTGACGGCCAATTAGTTTGTGCGGGCCAGTCAACTTCACATAATGTCTTCATTCTCTGTTTTCGCAATTTGATTCCCCAATCATCATGCTTTGTGGCCGCTTTCCAGTTGTTTAAAAAACATTCCAGAGGACTACATTGGCTTGCCCCAGACCCCATTTTTTTTTTCTTTCTTCTTCTTCAGATACTCCGCACCTGACTGGGCTGTAAATTCTTTCACACTTCACACGATTCAGATTGTGATCTGCACGAGGTCTCCCTGGCAGAAAATGCACAATCCTGCAATCGCCCGGCCAAGGGGAACGCTAGGCCCCGGCCCACACTCAAAATTCACTCACCGGAGTATCTGAACACGCAACATACAACATACAAATCATTCCATTATGATTCCAACATGCAACACACAAAACACACCAATACAATTTCCCTTCTGTTTCCCTTTCACCCAACCTTACTGGCGGCCCCCCCCTGTTGCCACGGCCAGTTCCTTTCCTGGTAGCACTGTACTGCTATGACCAGGTGAGGCTGATCAGACCTCTGGCCCTTACCCTTGGGCCCCTAGCCCTTTCCTTGGGCCCCTAGCCCTTTCCTTCGGGCTTACCTTTTGCTTTCCGCTGCGGATTCCCTCTTTTGGCCTCTTTCCTCCCTCGACCGAGGTCCCCACTCAGGAGCGGTGTGGCCGGTTTCCCCCACGAATCAGTAGGGTGCGCGCTTGAAGCCTGCAAACTCCGGTCCGAGCTGTCCACCTGGTCGAGCCTGGCTCTTCCCGGCCCCCCTGGGGTGGGGCAATTTCCCGGCCAACGCACCAAGCTGTAGGCTTATGCCTGTTACTTTGCCAGAGAATTGCTTACCCGCGTCCCCAGGACCGAGAAGAGAATAAAAAAATTCCAGGAAAGTTTCTTCTTTGGAGAAAAGAGTTTTATTGCAAATCTGTGCACAGAGACAGCCAGCAGAATATAGTTTCTGAAATCTGACTGTGTTGTTACCATGTTCAGCAAGCATTTTTATACCTGAAAGCATTCACCCTCCTCCCATACCTCCCCCCAAAACTTCCCCAATCAGCTGGCAAGTTTTCAACTCATTCCCTTTTAGGGCATATCAATATTTGCTGGCTAAGGCTGCTAGCTAAGCACTTCCTCTGCTGGTTAAGCATTTTCTCTGCTCAGTAAGCACCCCCTCCCACCTCCTTGTACACGTGTCTTCTTTTGCCAGCTAAGCATTCCCTTCGTATCTCTTATCTTGCATTACTTAAAGCAGAAGCAAAGCAGGAAACATCTTGCTAGTGGTTTTTAGTTAACAGCAGTTTCTGGCTAGGCAGGAAACGACCTTCTGACCTGTGGCTAACATCAGCAGTTTCAGATAGCTGGTTAGGCAGGAAACGGCCTCTTGACCTGTCTGATTTAGATTCTGCAAGCGACTGCAGTCTTGAGCTGTTTAACCACAATAGCTTAGTGCAGGAATTTACTATGTGTAGATAATATTAATGATTAATCGTTCCCCTCTCCCTTCACACATTAGTGGGTTATTGTTGGAATTGGGAGGTACGTGATTAAAAGCTCCCCCATAAGCGAGAGGCTAGACCAGGGTTGTCTAATTTTTTTTCAAAGAGGGCCAAATTTGATGAAGTGAACCAAAGGGCTGACCACCAAAGTTGTTGACCTTTTTTAGGATTGAAGTTGTTGAGCTATTTTTACGATTTTACCACCGGGAAAAATGTACATGCTTGGGCTAGAAGGACTTCCTCTTTGTTTCCCTTCCTCTGGCAGGATAAGACCTTATTAATCAGACAGACCACTGAAACTGAAGTGCAGATGATGTTGACCACCTAGCTGCTGCCAGAGCAAACTGCACTTTAGTGCTGGTTCTGAGTGTGTCTTAATGTATTTTTAACTATTGGTTTATTACTTTGCATTTTATAATGATGCTTTTAAAGCCGCCGTGAATCCCAGTTTGGAAGAAAGGTAGACTATACTAAATAAATAAGTAGGTATTTGGGGATGAGGGAGTGCAGTGTGACATGCATCTGCAACCCCATCATCTGGAGGTTTTCAAGGCTGGGAGGGTCAAATCATAGCTGTCAAGTGTCCCTTATTTGAAGGGACAGTCCCTTATTCCAGCGCCATGTCCTGCTGCTGTCCATTATCGATGGATGTCCGTTAAATGTCCCTTAAATGATGTCCCTTAAATTTCAAAGGAAGCAGCTCCTCTCCCTCCCTCCCTGCCGGCCAGGGAGGAGGGAGGCTCCAACTGTGTTGCTTGGCTGTGTTGCTCACCCAATAAGGAGTCTAAGAACGACTGGGGGGTGGAGCTTGCATGCCTTGTGTGTGGCTAGTTCAGTGTTTTTCAACCTTTTTTGGGCAAAGGCACACTTGTTTCATGAAAAAAAATCACGAGGCACACCACCATTAGAAAATGTTAAAAAATTTAACTCTGTGCCTATATTGACTATATATAAAGTAATTCTCTTGAATAGGAATCAAATAAACACAAAGAAAGTATTTTATAATTACTTTATTATGAAATAGTAAGTGAACAGAAATGTGAAAAATTATAAAATACTTTATTTTTAAATCTTTCGAATTTTTCAATTTTTCCCACGGCACACCAGGCAACATCTCACGGAACACTAGTGTGCCGCGGAACAGTGGTTGAAAAACACTGGGCTAGTTAATGCAAGCCGAGGAGTTTTTTGAATGCTGGATGCCATTTTGTTGCACGTGCTGCTGCAAACTTTGCAGTGCAAAGCCAGGCCGGGGAGCCATCTTAAGTTGAGGCTGCATAGGCCTTGTGGTGCATGTGATTCAGATTCTAGTCAGTTGAACCTCTGGTTGCAAAGTTGGTTGGGCAGTGTTCTCGAGGCTACCCAGCATGAGTTTGACCAGACGGCAGGAGGACAGGAAGACTGGAGTGCCTGGAACAGGTGAGGCTGCAGGTCCCTTATTTTGGCTGCTGATCCCTTATTTTCAAGGCTGCTGGTCCCTTATTTTCAAATTTGTAAATTGACAGCTATGGCTTAAATAAAGATTTTTAAATAATGGTTCAGTTTGGCTCCCAGCCTTTGATGCTGGGAGGGAATACAGAGGTATAGCAGGTAAAAAGGGATGGCTTAACCCTTGCTGCTCCCATCATATTTAACTTGCAGCAGAGGTTTGCATCCAGAAAGGGGGAAATGGCCTGGAGAACAGTATTTTTTTGGGGGGGGGAGCAGCAGGAGGTGAGTTTTCCTGCAGTTTCTCCACTTCAGTGTCCCACCACCCAATTCATTTTGGGCCTCAGATGTTAGAAATCCAGTGATTGTTGTCTAAGGGCACCTCCTTACTGTCACTATTTTGGGGTGAGATTCAGTCACCTACTGGCAAGATTCTGGTTGCGCAATTGTCATGGATTGAGCACTTTTATGCAAGAAACCCACTTCTCTAAAAGCCTGGATTTAATTTAGTTGTATTAAATTTATATACCGCCCTTCATCTGAAGAAATCCGGGTGGTTCACAATATTTCTGGCAACAAGGAAAGAGATGGGGGGTGCATTTGAAATTGTGGGATAACACTTGCTTTGTGCTGCCTTGCACTGCTATTTATTGTAAAATGGCTTTCTGGTATCATCTGCCCCTCTGCGCTTCAAGCTTTGGAGAGAGGCTTATGGAAAGGTGAAACTTGTGGAACAGCTGCCAGTGCTACTGAGGATGAAGCAGGAACCTTGAAAAGCCCAACGATAGCAGATAGAAGCCCCTGTTCTGAACAGATGGCCATTCACCTGTGTGAGCCATTTACAGGTAAGCTCCCATCTCTTCCTCCTGCGATGCCTGAAACATCACCTATTATTGGTGAAAAGGAGGTTCTTATGTAGGGACCGATAGTGAGATATTTGAGTCCCACATCCTTTAGGACTTCTGAAACTAACCTGTGCACCCTGAAATGGGATTGAACACTAATAGTCAAGCCGTGTGGCTGCTTCATGCTCCTTCTCACAGCCATCCCCACCAGCAATCTGGCTGCTGCATTCTGTACTTTCCCAAACAGTTTTCAGGGGAGCATCACATAGAGCACCTTGCAGCTACCAGAGCATAGAGTATTAGTTCAGTCTTCATTTGTGTGAACAATCATAGTGGTACCTCGGTTCTCAAACGCCTTGGTACTCAAACAACTTGGAACCCAAACACTGCAAACCCAAAAGTAACTGTTCCGGTTTGTGAACCTTTCCTGGAAGCCGAACATGCTCCGTTTTGAGTGTTATGCTTCTGATTTGAGTGCCACGCTGAGATCTGTCTTTTTGTTTTTGCGGCTCTTTTTTGTTTTGTTTTGTGACTGTGTGGAACCCAGTTCAGCTACTGATTGATTGATTGATTGATTGATTGTGCCACTGCAGTACATTTTTGCTTTCATTTTTTTCATTTTTTTCATTTTTTCATTTTTTTCATTTTCAATGAATTGCTTTCATTTTATGGATCAATAGTCCCGTTAGATAGTAAAATTCACATTAAATTGCCATTTTAGGGGTTGTTTTTAAAAGTCTGGAACAGATTAATCCATTTTGCATTACTTTCTATGGGGAAGCGCACCTTGGTTTTGGAACGCTTTGGTTTTGGAGCAGACTTCTGGAACAGATTTGAGAACCATGGTACCACTGTATGTAAAGAACTGAAATGAAGACTAGACTAAAATAACCAAATGCCTTTTCTTTCTCTTTTTCCTCCTTATAGAAAGTGCCAGGTGTAAGCTCTGTCCAAACAACTGGGTTGCACGGGAGGGGAAGTGCTACTGGCTTTCTAAAGAGAAATGGCAATGGCTTGGGGGCTACAACGACTGTTCCAGGAAGAGATCTCAAATGCTCGTGGTCCGGGATTGGGCAGAAATGGTAGGAAAAACAATGTGACTCTGGATTTTGCAATGCAGATCTTCGGTCATGTGCTGTGTGCAAAAATGCACATACTGGAGTTATGAAGCGTGCATTATGAACCATGCATAAAAATACATGCATTAATAAAAATTAAAAAATGCACTGTATTAGGGAAGCTTCCTTTGCAAAATAATAATAATAAAAAAAAATGTATGCATTAGGCAAAGCTGCTTCTAAAATAGGTATATTAGAAGAAATTCACACACCCAAAACACTGGTGTGGAAATGTAGAGAACTGAGCTGAAGGTTAGAAAAATTAGACACAGAGAAACTGAAACTGAACCATCCCTGCCCAACAGTTTTCGACAAAGAAACAAGAACACTAGCAGAATTACAAATTCCCTCGTGTTATTGACAGGAATTCATACAGGACTTCACTCAAGAGAAATATCCTGTCTGGATTGGACTTAATGTTACACATCTGCGCAACACCTGGATCTGGGTGGAAGGCTCAGCCTTAAATCAAGCCCTGTAAGTGTTTTCCTACATTTGTACAAACACCAACTTTCCTGTACAGTAATAGCTTTCTCTGAATTGCAGATGCCTCATTTCCATATTAGTGCCTTTGTCTTCTGTACATTAAGTTAGCTTGGAACTAGTATTTTTCCTTTCCAAGTTTTATGTACCTCCTATAATAAGTAACTTTATTATTTTCTCCTCTACAGATCTGTGTGTGTCTGTGTGTGTGTGTGTGTGTGTGTGTGTGTGAGAGAGAGAGAGAGAGAGAGAGAGAGCAACAAGTAATGCCTACTCTAACCAAATTCACAAGCCGCACTCCACACACCAAATTTCAATAGCTTCAAACTTGGTGTTTAGTGTGGAATTGCCATGCTTTATTTGCTCTCCTTTTATGGGACACCCACAGTATTTCCCTTGCAGTTCTTCCACCTTTTCTCAGATCGTAGCAAGATTAACTTTTTCCTAAAGAAAAGTAGCTCACGCTTCACAAGTTTCTTTAACACCACCCTACCATGGTAGGGGGAGGAATGTGGACATGGACTGTGAGATATTGGGAACATGAGCCTATCGCAGCTCAGCACATTGTCACACAACAAGCACAGTACAAGGTCCTCAAATTGCAAGCCAGGCCTCCCTCACGAGGTACATTCAGACAACCAGGCTTGAGCAAGTGAGACTTCTTCCAAGGGCACATTGTGATTTTGCTCTAAAATTACTATGGCCACTCTTCTGTCATCTTAGTCCCTCAATTAGGAGATTAGATGTTTGTGGGGTTAAAATTTGCAAACACTGGGAAGTTCAGGTTAGCTTTCACAGTTGATTACTGTTATCCATGGCTATAGCTAATCTGAACTTCCCAATTTGGAGATTATATGTCTTGGAGAAACAGGATTAAATAAATGATTGGAGGATAGACTGCAGGCAGTGATTAGTTGTGACCACTAATTCAGACTGCTGTGTTTTAGATGCAATAATCCCTCAGAATATCAGATTTGGGGAGCAGGAGAAGGAAAATCCTCAGGAGCTTCTCAGAGACACTAGGCTGGATGGACTAGATCAGGGGAACCTTTCTTGGTCCAGCGGGCCAAATTCTTCTCTTATCACCTTGTGCTCCAACTTCCATAGGTGGACAGGACAATGTACCTGTCAACCATCTGACATAATGGCATCAGTTGATTGACACCTGCTAGAGTCTGTCAGGCAGCTCAAGTTCCAGACAAATGGCTGGTCCCTGCTGCTGGACAAGATATACCTTTGGTCTAATTCTGCACGGTGCTTCATGCATTGTGAAATTACTGACCGGAGGTTTTCTCTGTTCCCACAGGTTCCCACTGCCTCTTCCAGGAACTGGAGCTGGTTGTGGAGTTGTGAAATCCGGTCAAGTTCGCTCTGAAATGTGCACCGCTGAATTTAGGTGGATTTGTGAAAAAGAAGCCATTTTGTTCTAACCTGTGAAAGCCAGCCATATGCTAATATGATAAACCATTTTTATTTACCTGAACCACAAAGGCTTCATGAGGGAGAGCTGCTATCCCAAGTAATCATCATCCCCTCTAATAAAATTAGGTGGTAGCTTCTGAACGCTCAGGGGACTCCTTAGATATGCAGACATATATATAACTTTGTAAATTGAATGTCCAAGTATTTTTATTTTTTAATTCCTGAAACAACCTCCTGAACTCGGTGACCCCCTTCAGTCCAAGCCCCATATCTCTGACACACTCTGCTATCTTGCAGTGTTCATTTGTTTTTCTAGTGCAGCACTGGATGTGGTGAGTACGCACTTGAGGACTGCCTTCTGCACTGAAGCCGTGCTGGAAATGGACAGGGCAGGGCAGAGTGGGATAGAGGCGTCCTATTGTATGCCATGGTGTGGTCTGGAGAATTTCCCGTGTCGTATCTTCACTGGTTTCAAAGTTTTTGCATATTAGTAAAATGTAAGTAAAAGACAGTCATACCTCGAAAGTCGAACGCCTTGCAATTCGAACTTTTGGCTCCCAAATGCCACAAACCCAGAAGTGAGTGTTCCGGTTTGCGAATGTTCTTTTGGAACCCAAATGTCCAACATGGGTTCTGTGGCTTCCAATTGGCTGCAGGAGCTTTCTGCAGCCAATCGGAAGCTGAGCCTTGGTTTCCAAACGTTTTGAAAGTTGAACCAACTTCTGGAACAGATTCCATATGACTTCTGAGGTACAACTGAAAACATGCTAAATTAGCTCACTGTCTAGGACACCAGTACATTTTCCTATGTACATTATCCTGTGCAAATAACATAATTTGCATAGAATGTTCTCCAGGTCAACCCACATCACTGGCTGCAAGTGGGATCTGCCAGTTAAATATCTCAGGTATACAAAGGGATCTGGTGATCAGATGTAGACTGTATCGAAGGAGCCAGCAAAAATAAAATAAACCCACTTGAGCCCCTTGGGCTTGCCAATCAGAAGGTCAGTGGTTTGAATCCCCGCAACGGAGTGAGCTCCTGTTGCTCTGTCCCAGCTCCTGCCAACCTAGCAATTTGAAAGCACACCAGTGCAAGTAGATAAATAGGTACCGCTGCAGCAGGAAGGTAAACAGTGTTTCTGTGTGCTCTGGTTTCCATCGCGATGTTCCTGTCTATCTATCTGTCTATCTATCTCCATCCTCCTATACACAGATATGCTTTCACGGACAAGAATTGGTCTAAAACGATTGTTAAATTCCTGTATTGACTATCTGTCCAGAATGAAATTGTGCATGAACTTTGACTAAAGCAAAATAATGGTTTTTGGGAATTCACACAAGAGCTATAGCTGGGTATTTGGTGGAAAACCCATCCAGCAGGTATTTTATTTAACTATCTGGGAATTACATTCCAACATAGGCTTCTATGGTCCTTGCACCGTGCTATGGCAGTGAATGCCAGTAAGATGTCTGTGCAGGCCATAATGCGACTTTTCGTAACAAGAGGTCATTCGCATATCCCCTTTGCCCTCAAGGTCTTCAACGCCAAAATAATAGCTCAATTGCTCTATGGAATTCCAGTCTGGCTGCCAGGGTAAACCCAGCTGGTAGAACGTGTGCAGGCAGCTTTCCTTTTTAATATTTTTGCTGTCCCACGTTGTGTACCCAATGCAGCCTTGTGTCTAGAGGGAGGTCAACACAAGGGAGAGACCGTTGCCTGGGCGAGATATCTTCTATGTTGGTGAAACATCTACCTCACATTAGACAAAGATCCTCTCCTTAGCGAAGTCTTGTTGGACCCCTTTCTCTCGCCAGGGCTACAGCAGTTTAACATAAAGGTACAGCAACTTGGACTGTCAATGGAACTAGTGCGAGCGATGCCCCCACCATCTGCCAAGGTTATAATAAAAAGTAGGTTGTGGGACATTGAACGCCAGGAACTAACAGCAGCAGCAGAGAAAACATGTTCCCTTCTTTACTTTCAACTTTCTTGGGCACATGAAACAAATTATAATTATCTTGAATTTCTGCTTAATTGCCCATGTGAAGACCACCTGCTGGAAACACTTACTCATATGGTTCTTAAATGTAAACTATATGCTGATCTCCACCAGCAATTTCTAGATCAACTCTGCATCCCCAAATGGAAACCAGAGTTGGAGGTCATTCATTTTCTATTACTGGGGAATGATCAGGAGCTCACCAAGTTAGTAGCCAAGTATCTTTATTTGGGTTTTTGTTGCAGAGACACATTGCAGACGTCTGATCTCCCTGGAGACCTAGAAATGTAACGTTGGACTTTTTTGCCTCTTTTCATTTGACAAATGTTCTGTGACATTGGGGAGGTGGTAATTCTGTATTGATTTACTATGGATGTTTGTATGTGATGCCAATAAAAGGTTTGATGATGATATCTATCTATCTATCTATCTACAGTGGTACCTCGGGTTACATACACTTCAGGTTACATACGCTTCAGGTTACAGACTCCACTAACCCAGAAATAGTGCTTCAGGTTAAGAACTTTGCTTCAGGATGAGAACAGAAATTGTGCTCCGGAGCGCGGCAGCAGCAGGAGGCCCCATTAGCTAAAGTGGTGCTTCAGGTTAAGAATAGTTTCAGGTTAAGAACGGACCTCCAGAACAAATTAAGTTCTTAACCTGAGGTACCACTGTATCTATCTGCATAACATCATTCAATAAATAAACAAGAGTTTGACATGTTGGGAAAGAAAATTCACAAGCACCCTAAATACTGTCACGCAGCGGTAAATTAATCAAGCAGAGTCTTCTTCATAAACAGAATAAAAGTTTACTGAAGAAAATAAAGTTGTTTATAAACAACATAGTCAAAGAGCATACACAGAGTGCTCATAACAGCTTTCTGATTCTTCATAGAGGCACACATCTTAGTTACTGAGTAACTGAATTCCTGGAGCCGCTCTGTCTGCACACATATACTGAGCAGAGAGAGACTACGCTACAGACACAGTCCATACAGCTCTCTGAGGCCCAGAGACAAAATGGCTACTTTATATAGGGAGGGTGAGTTAAGAACTTTGCTTCAGGATGAGAACAGAAATCGCGGCACGGCAATAGCGGGAGGCCCCATTAGCTAAAGTGGTGCTTTAGGTTAAGAACAGTTTCAGGTTAAGAACAGACCTCCAGACCGAATTAAGTACTTAACCTGAGGTACCACTGTAGGTCGAGATTTCTTAAATCATATTATAAAAATACCATGATATGAAGTATGGATGAGATCTAAAGACTTGTTTGAAAGGAAAACACTGTGGTGGTTGTCACCCCAGGAAGCCTTTTCAGTTAAAAAATTAAATATGAAAGGAGATTAGATAACCTATAGAGATTTGTTGGAAGAAGACAATAATATACGGTAATCAAATCAGACCTTATGAAGAACTAAAACCTAGATTGTCAGGATGGATGGAATATCACCAAATTAATGATATATTCCTTAAAGATAAAAAAAATTATGGATTTAATCATGATAGATCAATACTGGAGACCCGGGGGTATTACAAGGTCGTACAAAGATGTTGTCTAAAGTATATGAATTTTTGTTGGAATGGCATACAAAAGATGAAGAAATTAAGGAGGTCATGACTAAGTGGGCAATGGACCTAGGATATAATATCAAGTATTAAGAACTTTGCTTCAGGATGAGAACAGAAATCGTGCTCCAACAGCGCAGCGGCAGCGGGAGGCCCCATTAGCTAAAGTGGTGCTTCAGGTTAAGAACAGTTTCAGGTTAAGAACGGACCTCCGGAACCAATTAAGTACTTAACCCGAGGTACCACTGTATTGGAGTATGCAGAAATAACAAGGCTAACTGGAAGAATCCGACAGCAGGACGATGAGAACTTCCAAAAAGAATGGTCCAAATTTATGGTATACTTAGAGAAAACTGTACATAAAGAAAGACACTCACGGGGCTGAAATAAAACTCATAACGTTTATTGTAAACAGTTGGTTAGAACACAAGATGTAATACTGTAATATAATAAGGAATGTATGTCTAAAGTATAACACAAAAATTTATTAAGGAATTATAGACATTTATAGAATGTATATATTAAGTAGTGGGTTGACAAAGCAGACGGCGCAGAGATTTCTCCAAGTGGCTCTTTATAAAGAAGCTGGAACTGAACTGAACAGCAAGCATCTCAGCCGGCCTGTTTTTATAGGCAGCCGGCTGTCAACATTGTAACAACAGCAGCCCAGGGTTTCACGTCTAAATTAACTGAAGTGGACCTGAGTGAAAACTATATACACAATACCCCCTGGTGGCCAAGGTGAGAACTTCAATACATAACAGTATATACAGTAATCACGCTTCAGATAAGATATAGATTTAAAGGAGAATAATATTGTTAAGCTGTATTGTGTTTAAGATATTTGGAAAAAATTAATGAAAATTAGGGGGACGGGGGACAAACAGCCAAGTGTACTTAGAGAATAATCAGCTACCAAGTGGAAGCACATGAACCAAACATGACAGAGATAATGGGCTGTATTTAACCAAGTTCCATTCCGAGTGATCCAATGGAATCAATGAGCCCAAGTTTGCCATGTCCAACAAGTTCAATGAATAGGATTAGCATGGGGTACCACCCAAATCCTGAACACCCTTGCCTTATAGGATCCCACGGCATGGACACAGCAACCAACTGTTATTTTGGGAAACATTTGAACCCAGCAACTGAAGTATTTCCCCTCCATATTCTTCTGAATATTATTAATCACTGATTGATTTATTTTTTTACAAAAAATATATTCAGGATATCCATTATACAAACGTATGAAAATAGATGTTGAGACAAGTAAAGGTAAAGGGACCCCTGACCATTAGGTCCAGTTGCGGAAGACTCTGGGGTTGCGGCGCTCATCTCGCTTTATTGGCCGAGGGAGCCAGTGTACAGCTTCCGGGCCATGTGGCCAGCACGACTAAGCCGCTTCTGGTGAACCAGAGTAGTGCATGGAAACACCGTTACCTTCCGCCGGAGCACCTTCCGCGCCGAGCGGTACCTATTTATCTACTTGCCTTGACTGCTTTTGAAACTGCTAGGTTGCAGAGCAACCGGCAGCTAGCTCCCCTGTGCAGGGATTCCGCCCTGACCTTCTGATCGGCAAGTCTAGGCTCTGTGGTTTAACCCACAGCGCCACCCGCGTCCCGCGTTCAGTGCTTAGGGCCTCATCAAACCATAATTTTTGGCCGGGGAGGGCGGAGTATAAATATAAATTATAAAGTATAAATATAAATTATTATTATTATTATTATTATTATTAAACAAGATGAGAGACCACCCCCACCCTATTTCCCTTAAAGGTGATTATACTCACGCAAAGGGCTTCGAAAAAGTGGAAAGCGACGTAGACGGGAATGACCTTTGCCACGAGTTCAACTACCTCCCTATTTGCAGAGAGACAGAAAACAAAAAGGGATACCTCAGTAAGTAGAACATGAGACTCTTAATCTCAGGGTAGCGGATTCGAGTCCCACACTGGACAACAGATTCCTGCATTGCATATGGGGACTTGGTGTAGCGGCTGAAGATGCGGTGCTGGGTGCTGCCGCTGGGCGAGAGCTGCGCGGGGTCGTTGAGCTCGGTGCGCCACTGCAACTTGGCACTCAGCTCACCTTCGGCACTGCTGCCCAAGGCCGTCAGCTCCGGCTCCGGCTCGGTCTCCGGGTGGTGCTTGGGCGGCCCAGACTGCAGGGCAGCAGCAGGAAGAGGGGGTTTCTGCTAATGCTTACTCCTGAGTAAGCCTGTAGGGGATCACAGTGCAAGGAGGGAGAGGGAGGGAGCGAAGGGGGAAGCACGGTTAGCGCTCCAAGAAAGGCCAGGACCCAGAGGAAGGCCGTGCAACAGAGGGGACCACAGAAGAGAAGATATTACTTCTTTATTTTTTTAAAATAACTATTTTTTCCTCTTAAAAAAAAACACATTCATTCATTTATTCACTTATATAGAGTGTCCCAAGATTCAATGAAAAAAATCTGGTAACCTCAATTTAATGCAGTCCCAGTTTCCCACTCTTGAACTGCTCAGCTTATCCCAGACAAGAACACACTCCCTCTGCAGGGTGAGGTAAATAACAGCGGCCTTCTTCACAGGGTCATTGGGATGTCCGGGGTAAATAAACCTCTTCCACCTCGAGGGCCGCATCCCCTTCCGAGGGCCGCATGCCCTCGGTGTTTTATCTCTTGTTTCATGGGTTCCTAACCTTTTTTGAGCCAGGAACACCTTTGGAAATCTCACAGAACTGTTGCAAATATACCCATTTCACAGAAGAAAAATTGGCATCGCTCAGAACACGCCAGGCGAGTTGCGTACGCATACCAAAACTGCGACTATTGAAGGTGGCATGGAACTGCTTTAAATATATATTGCGGATGAGGCCTTGAGAGTTGTTAGCCAATTCCCCTCATTGGGCTATAATTCCCAGAGTGGTTTAGCATTCAGTCCCTCTTCCCAGGGAACCTGGGGAATTGTAGTTCCGTGAGGGGAATAAGGGGTCTCCTAACCACCCGCAACAAACTACAGTTCCCAGGATTCTTTGGGGGAAGCCATGACTGTTTACAGTGACATCGTAGCAATTTTTAAAATGCAAGGTGTGGACTTAGCATACCCGCTTTCATGCTAAGTATTATTGTCAACCTAAAAAACATGGTTGTGACTTACTCATCGCTGGTAAATGATATAAGCTAGGACGTCCTTTGTGGATGCCGTGAGGGTGCCCATCAGCAGGAAAAAAACACTGGAGAAGATCAAAGAGAGTTTGTAAGTTTAAGTTTTACCCACTGAAATTAACAGACACCCAAGTTAGTCATACCCCACTATTTTAAATGGGTCTACTCTAGGTAGGACTAGCATCAGACACAAGCCAGAGAGTTGCAAATAGTAGAAAGGCAGCAATTACCGTAACTGTTGCTCTCAAAAGGGTTAATGTTTTAACCCCATGGTTGGCGGCCCAGCTGTCCTGCAATGCCTTGAGGGGAGAAGTATGGGCTTTTTGCCCTTCTTTGTCCAAGAAGGGTTAAAACAAGGGTTGGCAACCGTTTGGGGGGGCCATTTTGAGAAAGCGATGTGGGAGCCAGTCACAAAATGGCTGCCAAGGGAGACATGGTCTAAGATGAAATAACTGTGATCCATTGCAGGGGGTTGGACTAGATGAACCGCTCCCGGGGTCCCTTCGAATTCTGGCAGTTCTATGAAACGAGAAGAGCTTGCTGCAAAATTCCACGTACCTGTGCACAAAATGGAGACCACGAAGGATTTCCGGCTTCCTCGAAGTTCCCAGCCCCTAAGGCGTTCCCCACCAGGAACGCTAACAGATGCGCTGATCCCAAACGGAATCTGGAAAGGACAGCATTGCTTTTGACACCTTAACCAAAGCTTTCGGGATCGTAGATTGTGTGTGTATGTTCACTGGAAGCATCTCGCCTTTAAGAAACCACCACCGCCCCCGAAAAATCTCAAGCTGATATTCTTCAAAACATACCCATGCATCCTAAATAATATCACGGGTTACTTATGCAATGGGCAGTTTCTGCAATTTTTGCCCCACATACCGTATTTTTCGCTCTATAGGACGCACCCAGCCATAGGACGCACCTTGTTTTAGAGGGGGAGAACAAGAAAAAAATTCTCCCCCTCCCTGCCCAGTGCCCCTTCAGCGAAGTGGCAGGAGGCGCTGCGTAGAGAGGGGGAGAATTTCCCCCCCTTGTTCTCCCCCTCTAAAACAAGGTGACGTTCAAGGTGCGTTCAGTCGCCTTCAGGTGGATACCTTGGAAGCCTGGAGAGCGAGAGGGGTCAGTGTGCACCGACCCCTCTCGCTCTCCAGGCTTCAGGTTCCTTTCAACCTGCTCTTTGGGGCTGGCGGGGGGAAGCCCACCGCCAGCCCCAAAAAGAAGGTTGGGGGGCAGCGGAAAGGGGCACAGCCTTCCCGCTGCTCCGCGACCTTCTCGGGGCTGCCGGTGAAGCCCAGGTCCCCCCCCCCCCAGCCCCAAAGAGCAAGGAAGCCAAGACAGCGAGCGGGACACATCCCGCTCGCTGTCTTGGCTTCTGCCATAGCCGCGCGCAACCTCTCCAGCTGGGAGAGACTGAACTAAGCGGCTATGGCAATACCCCCACCTCCCACAAAAGCCCACAGGAGCCATGCACCCTTTAAGGAGCGCGCGGCTCCTGCGGGTTTTCTACGAGGAGGGAGAAGGGAGTGACTGGCTGCCTCAGTCCCTTCTCCCTCCTGAGGAAAAGCCCGCAAGAGCCGAGCGGAGCTTGTGTGTGGCTTTTCCTGCCTGCCTCCCCCCTGCAATCGCTCCATAGGACACACACACATTTCCCCTTCATTTTTGGAGGGGGAAAAGTGCGTCCTATAGAGCAAAGAATAAGGTATATATAAAATATATACCATTGTTATTATTATTCTAATTATATATTTATACCCCCATGGGGACTCAAGGCAGCTTACAGATAGAAACAATAACCGCTAAAAACAAAGGGGGGAGAATCATTAAAAAGCAATTAAACACCGATCGAATTAAAACTATATACATCTATAAGGTAAAGGTTCCCCTGACCGTTAGGTCCAGTCGCAGACGACTCTGGGGTTGCGCGCTCATCTTGCTTTACTGGCCGATGGAGCCAACGTTTGTCCGCAGACAGCTTCCGGGTCATGTGGCCAGCATGATTAAGCCGCTTCCAGTGAATCAGAGCAGCGCACAGAAATGCCGTTTACCTTCCGGTCGGAGTGGTACCTATTTATCTACTTGTGCTGGCGTGCTTTCGAACTGCTAGGTTGGTAGGAGCTGGGACAGAGCAACAGGAGCTCACCCCATCGCGGGGATTCGAACTGCTGACCTTCTGATCGGCAAGCCCAAGAGGCTAAGTGGTTTAGACCACAGCGCCATCCACATCCTTATACTATACATATATAAAAGCTATTAAAACAATACAAAGCAATTGCAATACAACGACATCCATCCTTCCCCAAAGTTTGCTGGAACAAAAAAGTACCGTATTTTTCGCCCTATAGGACGCACTTTTTCCCCTCCCAAAATGAAGGTGGAATGTGTGTGCGTCCTATGGGGCGAATGCAGGCTTTCACTGAAGCCTGGAGAACGAGAGGGGTCGGTGCGCACCGACCCTCTCGCTCTCCAGGCTTCAGGAGAGCTCCAGTGCCAGCCCCACAAGGTCGGGGGACAGAGGGAGGCGGAACGTCGCCATCCCGCTGTCTCCCGAAGTGGTTTGGAGGCTGACGACGGAGAGACCCCACCGCCAGCCCAGCAAGCTCCGGGGACAGCTGGGAGGCGCAGCGCGTCTTCCCACTGCCCCCGGACCTGGTCTGAAGGCGGGCGGCAGGGAGAAGAGCGCTTCTCCCCGCTGCCGGCCCCAGAAGCACCTGGGAGAGAAATAAAGTTTTTTCTTTATTTCCCCCCAAAAAAACTTGGTGCGTCCTATGGGCCGGTGCGTCCTATGGGGGGGAAAATACGGTATTCACCTGCCACTGAACCTATTGTTCTCCCTCCTAGGATGACTAGGTGAGATGGGGAAAAGGCTCCTTCATGTTGTCTCTATGGCAACACAGCTCACTCTTTTGAGATGCTGATGAGGGCACTTCGCTGGCCATTATCTTACAAAGAAACTCGTCTGACCAGTTCAGCGTCCTCTTTTGCTCAGACTTAACCTGCATTGGGGTACAGGATCACAGCGACCCAAGGGGATCGCCCAGACTTGCCCTACCCATCCACCCCAAAATGTAACACTATAATAATGTGTACGTGATGCAGCACAGGAGAAGGTCTTACCATGTAGGCGATTGTGGCCACTTCGTAAATGATGGATTGGCACGACAGCTCTAGGACACCGAGGAGACCTGGGTGGGGGGAATTGAGGGAGGAGGGAAGGCAGGACGTGGGAATCATTGACAGAGGACTGTGCTGGGCTTTAGACATGTCCACATTCAAAGCATTGAAACATTCAAAACTTTGCAGCCCTTAAGGCATCTCTCTCCAGCTCTCAGGAGTGTCCCCAAGAATGTGAGCTGCTACTGAGACAAACCCCTTTATAACCAGGGAGCAGGGAGTTCAAAAAGTAAAAAGTATTAGCCATAATTTTATTTTCTTGCTCTCCTGTTGTTTGGAAATAGTTTAATGCTGTATACAGGCTGTTAGTTATGTGAGGTGATATTTACTGTACTTTTCCATCTATAAGACGCCCCCATGTATAAGACACCCCCAGGGTTGTTGAGTTTTTTTGGGGGGGGATTGCCGAAAATCACTCACCCACACGCATCACAAAATCCGCCTCCCGTCTGTCCCATCGTCGGCAGAAGCTGCCGATTGCCCGCCCAATTGCCGCAGCATCAGCCAATCAACACCACTCATTGATGCGGCAACCAATAACACACACAATAGCCACGAACAGCTGCAGCAGCAACCAATCAAATGTCCACCCTATTCACTACCCATGTATAAGACGACCCCCATTTTTTAGCATGATTTCTCAAGAAAAAACCCTAGTCTTATACACAGAAAAGTACGGTATTTGTCAATCTAATACAGTGGACCCTCCGGATACGAATTAAATTTGTTCCAGGGGTCCATACTTAACCTGAAAAGTCCATAACTGAAGACACCACTTCCAGGCTTGCCACGTTCGCAACCCGAAAGTTACGTATCCAGAGCAGTACATAACTTGAGGGTCCACTGTAGTTCCATAGCTTTAAATGTTTGTAAGGTTGGTGTCCTTTTTTTTTTTCCGGAATCTGTACTTGGTACAGTGGAACCTCAGTTGTCGAACATAATCCGTTCTCGAAGACCATTCAACTTCTGAAACATTCAACTTCCGAGGCGCTTTCAAAAACAGAAGCGATGCAGGATTTTCGGTGTTTGAAAACCGAAATGTTCGGCTTCCAAGACACTCGAAAACCGAGGTTCCACTGTATTGCTTTTTCTGTTAGGAGGTGGTAAGTATTATTTACTATTTGCATGGTAAAATTCATTATAGAAAACATTAGGCAAGTTCTACATTTCACATTTTGAGCCACAGATTATATAAATAAATGCAGTGTGTGTGTAGGAATAAAAAGTCAACAGGGCACTGGTTGTTTTCTCTGCCTCAGTTCCTGAGCTGCAACCGGTGCCTGTGCAATTATGTCACCAGCCTAGCCTTGTAGATAGTTGGATCTGGGTATTGTATTGTAATTGCCATGCTCCAATGTGATTGGCTTGGTCTTCTGGCTCCTCCCACTGCCCATGACACCTCCCCTCCCACTGACCTATCATAAAACTTCCGATTTCGAAGGTCCACCATTCAATGCAGGTCATGAGCATGCTGGGAACAGCTAAGGCCATAAACACGTCCCATTCCTGGAGGCATTCGGTGGACCATCCTTGGATTTGGAGAGTGCAGGGAAGAAAGGGAGGAAAAAACAGGGCAGATTTCAATTCTATTTTCTGATGAGGCAACATTTGTTATGTATGTAAAGCTGGCAAAGTCAGTTAAATAACAGAGTCCCAAGAGAAAAGTCCTGATAACGCTTCACTGAGGGAACTGGACAAAAGCAGCATATAAATTATATAGAGGTTTTGTCTTTTTAAAGCAGGTCTTGTATACAGCAGAGAGACATTCAACCAAACACGGGAGAAAATGCCCTCAAAGCTACACCTCCAATCAGAGCATGTGTTACCTCAGGGAGGATCATGCCCCTCCACATGGTTGCTAAGCAACAACTCCCCCCTCTCTCTGGGCTAGCTGCCTGTAACAGAATTAACCCTTGAGTTACAAACTGAATGATCCCTGCAGTCGCACTTCCAACATGAATCTGAGACAGGAAACTTGGAAGAGACGAGGGCATTGGAAAACAAGCAGGTTACCTCCCCAAGTTTCAGCGTGAAGCTTTTTCCATTTGATGTACAGGAAGAGGGCAATGGCTTGCGAATATTGTGCGATGGTGTTGGCCCAGGCAGAGCCCCTGGAATGAGGAAAGAGGGGGGATTAACAAATAAGCGAGGGCCACGTTGGAAACATTACATGGTAGAGCGTTGTAAAACGGTTGGCAACGTATGAAGGGGGGGCTAGAGACCGATTTTTCGGGTCCTTCCTTGGCACCCACAAACCCTCTGATCCTGCCCACCCACTGCTCCCTTGGCCATGAAGCAAGGAAAGGGGGTGACTTTTCCCCCTTGCTAGAAAAATTCGTAGAGCTTAGGGAGGAAGTTGAGAGAGTGACGCTCTTTCCCGCTTTCTGCTCTGTGGTGCTTTTCTTTTTTTAATTTAATTTCTATTAGAAATTTAAACAAAGCATATTATCTTAAAACATATCATCCTTAATTCCCCCCCACCGACTTCCCTCAGTTCCAATCCCTGATTTCTCTATAAATGCTATTCTCTGCATGTTACAAAGTTGTATAGATCCTTAATTTGTCTAACTGGTTGTTATCGATAAAAAGTTTGTGATGCTCTATGGTGCTTTTCAAGGCTCAGGTGAATTCGGCTGGACTTGAGTTAGACCCAAATCCTCTCTTTCGGTGGCATGTGTGTATGTGTGTGTGTGTGTTGATCTGGGGAAGGAGGGAAGAGACGTAATAGAGGAAATGCCTTCCACAGCGTTCACACAGACACCCAAATGTCCCCACATGCCTACAAAGGTTGGCAACCCCCATAATTAGGTCTTAGGAGGTCACCCCGACTTTCTTTCTGCAGGCAGGAAGTGCCAACCCTATCGCACCGTTTGGGTCCATTCCCGAAAATCGCAATAACTGAGGGAATGAACAAAAGCAACACACACTTTGTTGAAGGACCAAAGATCACAAGTGATATAATTGCCGTATTTTTCCATGCCCCCCATGTATAAGGAAACCCCTCTTTTTTTGAACCCTTAAGAAATCAATATTTTAAACATCAAACTGAGCAACTCTGTTGAGCTTTTTTGGAGCGGATTGCTGAAAATTGTTGTGTTGGTGTTTTTTTTGGAGACCGCCCTGCAGCTTTCAACGCTATTGGTGAGTCGTGTTTCTTTTAACCACCCGGGTATAAGACGATCCGCAATTTTTTTACTGGATTTTTTTTAGCAAAAAAACTCATCTTATACATGGAAAAATATGGTATACCTCCTTCAAATTTTTAAAAAGCTAACCAGAAAAATTGAAAGGGAAATGCATTTTAAAATGTGGTTAAACGCAGGAAACAGAGACAAGGAGGAAAGATTGTTACTTCCACAGACATGATGGAGGCAGGTAAGGAGCAAGTAAGACTGTCCCCCCCAAACTGTCTTTTAAAGAGAGGTTCTTTCTGGTTGTAGATCTGGGCTTGCTGTTAAAACAACAACCTTGCAGAGACCTTGATTGTCCAAGAACGTCCCCACCCAAAGCCCTTGACTTGATATAGACAAACAAGGGATTTTGCAACACATTCCTAGCGTTCCACCGATGAAAGAAAGAAAAAGGCGGGCAGGCGGTGTGTTCAAAATGCAGGTTGGTCCTGCCACCCGTTTCTCATTTACCTAACCCCCATGTGAAGCTGGTAGAGGAAGACATAATTTGCAATCAGATTGACGATGTTTCCAGCAATGCCGCACAGAACCTCAGGCCAGATGATCCTCTGAAACAAGATATTATTTTAGCAACGAGATGAACCAGGTGCTCTGCCACCGAGATACCAACCTTTCCTAATAATAATAATAATAATAATAATAATAATAATAATAATAATAATATATTATTTATACCCCACCCATCTGGCAGGGTTTCCCCAGCCACTCTGGGCTGTTTCCAACAAAGTATCAAAATACAGTGGTACCTCAGGTTACATACGCTTCAGGTTACATACACTTTAGGTTACAGACTCCACTAACCCAGAAATAGTATCTCGGGTTAAGAACTTTGCTTCATGATGAGAACAAAAATCACGCAGCAGCGGCGCAGCGGCAGTGGGAGGCCCCATCAGCTAAAGTGGTGCTTCAGGTTAAGAACAGTTTCAGGTTAAGAATGGAACTCTGGAACAAATTAAGTACGTAACCAGAGGTACCACTGTACAGTGGTCTGTTAAACATTAAAAGCTTCCCTAAAGAGGGCTGCCTTCAGATGTCTTCTAAAAGTCTGGTAGTAGTTCTTCTCTTTGACATCTGGTGGGAGGGTGTTCCACAGGGCAGGTGCCACCACCGAGAAGACCCTCTGCCTGGTTCCCTGTAACTTGGCTTCTCGCAGGGAGGGAACCGCCAGAAGGCCCTCAGAGCTGGACCTCAGTGTCCGGGCAGAACAATGGGGGTGGAGACGCTCCTTCAGATATACTAGACCGAGGCAGTTGGAAAACAGCGACACTTGGGAGGGTCCGGGGGACTGCACCCCTTAAACTGAGTCAGCCTATCTTGCTCAGTATTGCCTGCACTGACTGGCAGCAGTGGCTTCTCAAGGGCTTCTGTCGGGGCGGAGATATTCCCAGGCCTCCCAGGAGATGCTGGGGATTGAAACCTTCTGCCTGCTCAGCTGCCGTTTTTGCCTTTATTTCCCCAACAAGAGAAAGAGCATCTTACCTGATTCTGCAGGTACCTCATCTGGATCTGGTAAATAAACGTCGCCTGTGGAGCAAGGAGGCATGAATACAACCTGTGATCCAAAGCAGGGGTGTGTGTGAGCAAAAGCCACTTCCGACATCCGGAGGAGGTGGGGTTGCGGGCTTCACGTCCCCAACACAAGCGCGGGGGCTGTTTTCCAGCCCAGCGCTATCGGGGGAATCCTCGGGCAGCGTCATCGCATGATCGAGCTGGCTCGGGGGGGTGGCTTGCCGCATTTAAGGCGAGCGCGGCCATAGGCGCCGACTCCATGGGGCTTGAGGGGGCCCGAGCCCCCTCAAAAATTCGTTTGGGGGGGCTCCGCCCCCCAATAATCTCCGGCGCCCCTCCAGCAGAGCGCCATCGCCGCCCCTCCCCCAGCCCAAAATGCACAGGGAGGGGCGGGCTGCATGCCTCCTGCCCTCCCTCCCGAGCAAAAGCTCCACCCAATTTCCTTTGGAGCTGATTAATAGGCGCAGCACGCTCTCCCCTATTCGCTCACGAGGAGGCGGCGCCACTTTATTTGCATATTCATGAGCTTATTTATTATTCATGAGCTTTCCCGGGCCCCCCCAATATTTTTTATAAGTCCGCGTCCCTGAGCGCGGCCCCGGGATCTCCCTCTTTGACCGGCGCAGCTGATCGTGTTTCCCACCCGCCCGCTCCTTTTCTTTTTCAGGTTTCCTTCTGACCTTGCTATGGACCTTGGTTGGTCGCCGTTAAGGGGCCTGGTAGGAATTTTTCCCACTTGGCAAATTGGCACCAGCCACTTGGTTTTCCGCCTACCTCGTAGCAAGTCCTCACAACTTCTTTGGTCTTGGCGGTTAGGCATTGGTAGGGGTATTGTTATTTAGATGTGTTGGGGGGAGGAGCGCTGTCACCTCCCCCAAACATTGAAGGGTAGTCCTTTAAAGGATTCTGGGGGGGCGTGGCCTCGTCCGAAGCCTATGGAGGCCAGGGCCTAAAGTGTGCCCCTGAGCGGTGACCCCAGGGGAGTACCTAGTTGATGTGCATCAGCAGGGCTCCCCCTGCTGGTGTTAACCCTTCCCGGTTTTCAAGCAATCAGGCTGAAGCTGGATAGTGGATAGGACCAATGCCTAAGCCAATACCGCTCTTAAAGGTAAAGGTAAAGGTACCCCTGCCCGTATGGGCCAGTCGTGACCGACTCTGGGGTTGTGCGCCCATCTCGCTTAAGAGGCCGGGGGCCAGCGCTGTCTGCAGACACTTCCGGGTCACGTGGCCAGCGTGATGAAGCTGCTCTGGCGAGCCAGCACCAGCGCAGCGCACGGAAACGCCATTTACCTTCCCTATTTATCTACTTGCACTTAAGGGTGTTTTCGAACTGCTAGGTGGGCAGCAGCTGGGACCGAACGACAGGAGCTCACCTCGCCGCGGGGATTCGAACCGCCGACCATGCGATCGGCAAGTCCTAGGCGCTGAGGTTTTACCCACAGCGCCACCCGCGTCCCCTTAATACCGCTCTTACCTGTAACCAATAAAGTTGTGGCCAATTTTAGCCCATTAACCTTATTCATGGTGTCCTGTGTCTTTATTTCTACTGGGGGAGGCGGGAAATCGCCACGCAATTAATGCTCTCTTCCCCCAGCGATGCATCCATCTTCTTTAGACCTCCTTTTCTCAGAGTTGCCCCCTTTTTGGAAAACAAACGGGGCTTTCGGCAGGCGGCAGTCCAACCAAGCCTCGTAGAAGCAGAGGAAAGTTTGACCAGTTGGGTCACGGCCTGCCTTGCGGCTGTCAATTCTAGGGGCACAAGAGGCCTGGAAGTGCCCCTCCAGGGTTTCAGGCAGGGGCCACGTCCAAACCTACCTGCAGAGGACTGAACCTGGGGGACCTTCTGCAAGCAAAGCAGGTATTCCCAGGACTGAACTGCCGCCCGTTCCACTTAAAGACCCCACTGAGAAAACGAAAGAAAGCAGAATGAAATAGGAGACTTACGGGAAGCGCTGGGATGAAGATCATGACGTAAACCTGTGTGAGCCTGGAGCAATAAAACAAAATAGCAAAGAAAACAAAACAAAAAAATAGCAATTTATCCTGCAGCTGATTTTTGTTCCCCAAGTTCCATTACCATCCCCGGGGAGGGGGGGGGGATCCCATCGTAACAAGAAAAGCAAGAAAACGATTGCATACAGCAGCTATCCCAGAATCCTTCGCTTCAAGGCCATTGTGTGACTCCAGAAAAGGGCACTCTAGCCCCAACTCTTTGTGCCCTCCCTCTTCAATCTCAGGGCACGTTTAAGGCCCTACGACACCACTTTAAAGAACCAGGCCTTCCCCCAAAGAATTCTGGGAGCTGTAGTTTCTTATGGCTGCTGGGAGTTGCTAGGAGACCCCGGTTTCCTCCTCAGAACTACAGTTCCCAGGGTGGCTTAAACAATCAATCCTTCTTCCCATGGAACTCTGGGAATTGTAGCTCTGTGAGGGGGAAATGGGGTCTCCTAGTAGCTCTCAGCATCCTTAATGCACTACAGCTCCCATGATCCTTTGGGGGAGGCTCACCGGGCACCATCACTGTATAGTTTCAAGCACCAGTCAAAAACATTCCTTTTTTAACCAGACCTTTGCCTTTTAATGATCTACTGTAGAGTTTCCCTAAACTTGGGTCTCCGGTTGTTTTTGGACTACAATTCCCATCATCCCTGACCACTGGTCCTTTTAGCTAGGGATGATGGGAGTTGTAGTCCCAAAACAGCTGGAGGGCCAAGTTTGGCCATGCCTGATCTAGGGCCTTTCAGAGTGGGTGGCATGTTTTAAAGTATTTCTTTTTCTTCCTGGTTTCAACTTGTGGGTGTGCTTGTTCGTTTCTGTAAGTCGCTTTGAGTTGCCTGTAGCAAGATAAATTAGAAGTGAATTTAATAACAACCACCACGCCATTTAAAGTGGTATCGTGGTGCTTTGAACGTATGGTACAATTGTGGCCTCAGTTTCGCCCTTGTATAACTCAGCAGAGAGCAAGATGGTGGCAAAGCAAGAATTACCGGTAGTTGGCTCTGCCTTTCAGTGACTCTGTCTCTTCCTATCATTGGTTTTGGCGCCACCTGCTGTTCGGCTCCCTGTCTTCCGCCCTACCAGCCCCAATGGGCACCAGCCACCTTTGGAAATATGGGGTATTGTGTGTGGACATGGGAAAGGGGGAATCGCATGCACGATGATCAGCCTCAAGTCCAATAAACTGCTGGGTGGACTCCTTCCCTTTTCTTTCTCCCCACCTGGAGACATCTGGGTCCTGTCGGATGAGTAGGAGGAGCTGCTCTGTGTTGACGAAGACAGCCCAGCAGGGGAAGCAGCAGAGAAGCAGAATGAGGATCCCCCGTTGCAGGATGGTGCCCACCCTTTTCATATTCTTCCCTCCATACGTCTGGGGAGGGGCGTGTGGGTGAAGGTCCAAAAAACAGAAGCAGCATCATTTAAACTCTCCAGCCTTTGGACACAAAGGTAACTCACAATATTTCACTGTTTTATTCACAATAATTAACTTATCTGGGGATGTTCTAGAAAGAGAAGGCATTGTTTCTCTAGGTGATGAGAGGAGGGGAGCCTGTGGCCCTCCAGATATTACTAGATTCTGACTCACATCAGTGTTGGTGCACCGGGGGAAAAATAGATATAAAAGGATAATTCCTGGATGCCAAGATCCAGGTTTGGGGCAAGTACTCTTAAAGCATTGAAATAAAGGCTGTTCGACCTTTAACATATGCCATTGTGATTTTCAATTTTTCTCCTAGCATAGAAAAGACCACAGGTTTGGTAACTTTAAAATGTTTTACTTACAAACGCTCCAAAGGTCAAATTCGTGTGCTTTTCCATACAGCATTCAGAGGGAAAATGCACAGGCAGTAAAACTTGGCTTTGTTACAGTGTTGAAAGTTCCTAAATTATCGGTATAGAAACTCAAGAATGGCTGTGAGAGCTATGCAGCTAAGCTATTGCTGCAGCGTAGCCTCTTCACATGCTGAGCTTCTGAGCTAGACTGGGGAGGGAACAAAGGCTTGATTACCTAGTGACTCCTAAGGTGAAGGGGAGCAACCTAGTTAAGCCTAGCAAGACAGCTTACTCTATGGTCTTAACCCCTTCACGCATTGATTAGATTTAAGCATGTGGGTTATATGAGGCTGGTTATCCCAGAGTCAGTCCCAGCAAGGCCAACAGTCAGGGGGATTATGGGAGTTGTAGTCCAACAACTTCTGAAGGGCTACAGTTTCTTGTAGCATTTTGCAAGCTTACAAATCATCTACAGAGTCTGGATTATAAGGAACTGTTATGTACTGAGTTGAATAGGATCCAAAATGCAGCAGTCTGATTGGTCCTAGAACAATAGGATTCAGAATGCAGCAGTCTGATTGTCCTAGAACAATAGGATTCAGAATGCAGCAGTCTGATTGGTCCTAGAACAATGCAGCAGTATGATTGGTCTGCAGGAGCCACCCAATCCGGCTCCAGATGGAAGTGAATCCACAACCTGATTGGCCTACTGGAGAATTCCGGAATTAGCCAATCACATGCAGCCCATTGTGTAAATAATGTATATAAAGCAGATACTTTGAGGGGACATTCATTCCTCCTCGCCACTATGAGCTGAATAAAGAGCATGAAATCCACTCTTGACTCTGAGTATATTGCAGGGAACAAATTTTACTTAGCTGTTTGCGGCTACTAAACTACCACAAAACTGAAACTAGTCCCATCTTCAGAGTGTCCTTTGCCTGCTGGTCTTACCCAGCTCTGATTCCCTCCCAGCGACCAGACTTTCAAAATGTTCAAGCTAGACACACCTTGACGCGGCCTTGTCTCAGACTACGTTTCATACACCAGAATTCAAACACGCAGCGGCAGCCAGCCATTACTCACCTGTGATATTAACGTATCGCAAGCTGAAGACAACCCAAATCCAACAGAGATGCCTGTTACATTTATAACCTAGGGACCATCAGAGAGGGGAAAATAACGGACAGACAAATCGAGGGGTTATAATGTTGAATGCTGGAAAGAATGGCACAAATCTTATGGTCTGAGTCTCACTGAGAGAAGCCAAGTTACAAGGAACCAGGCAGAGGGCTCTCGGTGGTGGCACCCGCCCTGTGGAACGCCCTCCCACCAGATTGTCAAAGAGAAGAACAACTACCTGACATTTAGAAGACATCTGGAGGCAGCCCTGTTTAGGGAAGCTTTTAATGTTTAACAGACCACTGTATTTTAAATACTTTGCTGGAAGCCACCCAGAATGGCTGGGGAAACCCAGCCAAGTGGGCGGGGTATAAATTTATTATTATTATATTATTATTATTATTATTATTATTATTATTATTATTGGCTGTCTGCCTTCAAGCAGGATAAATTATTTGTTCATCAAACCCACTATTGACTATTAAGAACATAAGGAGAGCCTGCGGATCAGGCCAATGTCCCGTCTAGTCCAGCATCCTGTTCTCACAGGGCCAACAAGATGCCTAGCGAAACCTGCCATCAGGATCCGAGCACAAGGAGCAACTCCTCCCCTCCTGTGGTTCCAGCGACTGGAATCTAGAAGCATCACTGCTACCCATAGCCCTCTCTTCCTCCATGAATTGCTAATCCTCTTTAAAGCCATGCCAGAGTGGCTGGGGGAAACTCAGCCAGATGGGCGGGTATAAATAGAAAATTATTATTATTATTATTGGAGGAGGTGAGGACAGGTGACCCCACCTAGGCCCGAAGTCCACACACCCCCCAACCAGGCCTCAAAGCCTCAAGCACTTTTTCAAATTGCACTTTTCAAAATATTTTCTCTATGGCTGAAAAGCATTTAGCTAAGCATCTTGCTATCTTGCTCTGCTGTAGGCAAAAGCTGAGCTGAGAAGAACCATGCCTTTTCGCTTCTCAGGCTAGCTGGCCTGCTAAACCAGATTGCGACTTTCTTCCGGGAAACTGTGCCAATAGAGCAAGAGAAAAGAAACATATCTTGGACACTCTGAAACCCCTTGGCTTCTCACCCAGCCCCCTTTCCTGGGAAGGGTGCCATGAATCCCAAGACAGGAGCTTTCTGTTCATGCTCAGGAAACTCAACATGGGGCAGGACTCCTGAGGAGGAGGAGAAAGGGGAGGGGACTGGAGGGGAATATATGCTCTGTGCAAATGGCTGTGAACTTGTACTTAAGGTAAAGGTAAAGGTACCCCTGCCCGTTCAGGCCAGTCTTGCCAGACTCTAGGGTTGTGCGCTCATCTCACTCTATAGGCCGGGAGCCAGCGCTGTCCGCAGACACTTCCGGGTCACGTGGCCAGCGTGACATCACTGCTCTGGCGAGCCAGCGCAGCACACGGAACGCCGTTTACCTTCCCGCTGGTAAGCGGTCCCTATTTATCTACTTGCACCCAGACGTGCTTTCGAACTGCTAGGTTGGCAGGCGCTGGGACCGAACGACGGGAGCGCACCCTGCTGCGGGGATTCGAACTGCCGACCATGTGATCGGCAAGTCCTAGGCACTGAGGCTTTACCCACAGCGCCACCCGCGTCCCTTAAGGCCTCATACCACACAAATTATTGGAAAATCTTCAGGGGCAGCAGGAAGCTGCTGACCCACCAACAGACTTCCTGTTGTATGTGTTTACTTCATTGGGCAGAGAGATTATATTGCCAGGCACTCAAATACAAGAGTGGCTTAGCGATTTGCATTTGGCAATAAAAGGCTTCCATTGAGAAACTGGTTTCTTCCACAAAGCAGCAGGGCTAATGCCACAGACTGAGCGATTTCTTTAAAGATGCACATAAAAAAACTAAGCAAGCAGTAGAGTAATTACACATTTTTTTCTTACTCCGAAACAACTAAGAATAAGGAAGGGAAAGCAAGCTTCTTCCATAAGCGGAATGCCTTCTCCTCCACCCCTGCCACCCTCCAGGAAACACTTTTCTTTCTTCCCTGCCACAAAACCCGAACAGAGATCTTTACATTCTGAGGAGAACAGGGGCATGTCATGGTTTAAAAATAGCCACCATCAGGGCACACAGAAAGGCAAATTAGATGAAAATGGAGAATCCTGTCTCTTGAGCTTCCTTTATAAAACAGCAGGAAGGAGTGGGGGGGCTGGGGGCTGGGACATAGCTCAAGGGGAGAGGGGCTAACCCTTATGCTCTCCAGTGCCGTTTTCCTGAGGTGAATTGCTGATACCGCCCACGAAATAGGTACCTGCTCAATTTGGTAAACATACAGAGGTACACGACACAGGTGCTGGCTCAAACAGGGCAAATAGCAGCAGTTGATGGGAAGCAGTGGGTCGCATCCAACTAAGTTTTACTCAGAGTAAAAGGTAAAGGGACCCCTGACCATTAGGTCCAGTCGTGACCAACTCTGGGGTTGCGGTGCTCATCTCGCTTTATTGGCCGAGGGAGCCTAACGTACAGCTTCCAGATCATGTGGCCAGCATGACTAAGCCGCTTCTGGCGAACCAAAGCAGCGCACGAAAACGCCGTTTACCTTCCCACCGGAGCGGTACCTATTTATCTACTTGCACTTTGATGTGCTTTCGAACTGCTAGGTTGGCAGGAAGCAGGGACCAAGCAACGGGAGCTCACCGCCAACCTTCTGATTATCAAGCCCTAGGCTCAGTGGTTTAACCCACAGCGCCACCCGTGTTCCACTTTACTCGGAGTAGACATATCAAAATCAGCAGGCCAAAAGTTAGCCAAGGTGGGTTGGAGTAAACTTAGGGCTCATCCAGACTTCCGTCTGCCCTGCCACTTTCCCTTGGAAAACTTGCTGTTTACCACTGAACCGGAGTAAACAACAACTGGGTTTTTCTCCAGTTTGATGTTTGCTCCATTTTAGCGCTAAATATCGGGTTTTCTGGGGGAAAACTGTGGGCCAAAGGCAAAATCACATGGTAAAGGTAAAAAAGGTAAAGGACCGCTGGACGGTTAAGTCCAGTCAAAGGAGGCTATGGGGTTGCGGTGCTCATCATTTCATGGCCGAGGGAGCCGGCGTTGGTCCACAGACAGCTTTCCAGGTCATGTGGCCAGCATGACTAACCCGCTACTGGCACAACGGAACACCATGACGGAAACCAGGGTGCATGGAAATGCCGTTTACCTCTCGCCGCAGCGGTACCTATTTATCTACTTGCACTGGTATGCTTTCGAGCTGCTAGGTTTGGCAAGAACTGGGACAGAACAATGTGGGGATTCGAACAGCTGACGTTTGGATCAGCAAGAGGCTCAGTGTTTAGACCACAGCGCCACCCGTGTCCTAAAACTGCATGGATCTATGTTTTAGAAGCGCAGAACAAGCAGAAAGCAGCTTGGAACTATGCAGAAGTCTGGAACACAGAACAAGTGGAAGTGTGGACAAGCAACACAATTTATAGCAGCAAAATGCCATGTGGGAAAGGATAAAAACCCTTCCCTCCCAATGCTCTCCCTCATGACTATTTTTTCTAAATTACCTTTTAATCAACAGGGCCTCCAATTGTAATCCAGTGTCTTGTCTAGTCTTTCCTATAGCTACACTAAGCATGTGACACGATGCCACGCAAGTGTGCATTACAATATTTTTACTTTGATATTTAATTTCGGTTTTGCTTGTTTTGCTATGGACTATTTATACGGGAGTGGTTGCTGAAAGCAGAAAGCAAAAGACTAAGCCTGATGAGGAATGGTTGAAGGAGCTGGGTATGTTTAGCCTAGAAAAGAAGAGACTGAGAGGAGATATGAGAGCTATCATCAAATATCTCAAGGTTGTTACATGAAAGAGGGAACAAGCTTGTTTTCTCCTGCTCTGGAGGGTAGGACTCAAACAAACGGCTTCAAGTTGCAAGAAAGGAGATTCTGACTAAACACCAAGAAGAATAAGAGCTGTTTGACGGTGGAACAGTCTCCCTCCAGAGGTTGTGGACTCTCCCTTCCTGCGAGGTTTTTAAGCGGTTCCCTCACTGCAAGAAGCAAAGTTACAGGGAACCAGGCAGAGGGCCTTCTCGGTAGTGGCACTTGCCCTGTGGAATGCCCTCCTATCAGATGTCAAAGAAATAAACAACTACCTGACATTTAGAAGACATCTGAAGGCAGCCCTGTTCAGGGAAGTTTTTAATGACTGATGTTTTAATGTAATTTTGATCTTCTGTTGGAAGCCGCCCAGAGTGGCTGGGGAAACCCAGCTGGGTGGCTTAGCTGAGATTCCTGCATTGTAGGGGGCTGGACTAGATTACCCTTAGGGTCCCTTCCAACTCTACAATGTTATAAACAACTATCTGGCTTTTAGAAGACATCTGAAGGCAGCCCTGTTTAGGGAAGTTTTTAATGTTTGATTTTTAAAAATTATTATTATTATTATTATTATTATTATTATTATTATTATTATTATTATTTTCTATTGGGAGCCTCCCAGAGTGGCTGGGGAAACCGAGCCAGATGGGTAGGGTATAAATAATAAATTGTTACTATTATTCTATGATGGGTCATATCCAATGGTGGCTTTGCCTTTATTGCACCCGTTTCTCCTCCAACCACATAGACCCTTCATCTCACCTGAAAGGCTGTGGGAACTCCCTAGATAGAGGACAAAGGGCAGTGGTTGGAAAGAAGGTGTTAAGTTGTGGGTGAACATATCAGACGACATAGCGATTCTTCAAACAGCTCTTGTTTATTCGCAGGCCAGAACAGAACTGAACTGAAGGGTTCAGTCAGCCTGCTTATATTGAGCTCCAGTACAACGTAACTGTAACAATTTTCTAAAACTATTCAATCATTGAACGTCACTTTCAATCCCTTATTTGCATAACTATCTACAGTATCCCCCTGCTGGCCCAGGGTGAGAACTTCAGTACATAACAGAAGGATTGGGGGAAACCAGGTCCCCAGACTTCGTCTCTCCAGATCACCCTCTCCTGAGGCTGAGGGGAAGTGCTTTCTGCTACGGCTAAGGCACCATGGATACAACAACCCAAGGGGCAAAACGAAAGCTGCGTAGCAGCTTGCAAAGAGCTTGGGCTCTTTGGAATGCTTAACTTTGTCAACTTTGAACTGTTAATGCTCATCCTTGCTGTATCTCAAAATGATACTCTGTTCAGAAGCAGGTCGTCAAAGCATGACAAGCTGTTGATCAAGGAAAACAAGCCTGAAGCTTCGCGCTTCCTTTAGATGCTGGCCGGTGTTGCATGTACGGACCGATATTCACCTGGTTAAAATTGACGGTTTGAATCAGGATTTTTGGCACATTCCAGCCAAAGCAAAAGCAGCCTCAGGAAAGGCTGATCTGGAGTGACAAGGGCTGTATCTTTAACCCTTCTCCTTCCTCAAGTTTCTCCCATCTAAAGCATATCCACTGGGCTTTTGCTACATGTCTCTGCACGTAACATATAAATGCTTAGAGGAGGATTTTAGGTAAGCCCTTTTAAATTCCATTTAGATCAACAGGAAAGTTCTGCTTTTCATTAAGGGTCAAATTAAACATGGCACGAATCCCGCTTTTTAAAAAGGGGTGCTTAATGCTGCTATGTTTATTTTCAAGGGAATGTAACTGTGGGGCCCCAATCCAGCATGCCCCGCCCCCGTTCTGGATAGGTTCCCTGTTGAATATCTCCCCCCCCCCCGCAATTGTTGTTCATTCCTGCACATTTGCAGCCAGAGTTGTCAGTGGGAAACCTGAGTGAGATCGGTGCTGGATCAGGTCCCCACGGCTATTATTCCTTTAAAAGTGTCATGCTTTAAAAAATATATTTGTGAATGAGTCCCTCATTGAACATGATGGGACATCTTCTGTGTAAGCATACACAGGACCAGGTTGTATGTCTGCCCCGTTGAAATTAGCAGACCTCTTCAAATGTTTCGTTTTAGTTAGATCACGCTTAGCATTAATTGGATTGCAAACTGCCTTGGCTTGCTGGAAGGGTGACGTTACACAATTTGCCCCGCCTCGAAACAAAAAAGCAAAAAATAACCGCCACCCACACCCACATAAAAAAACCCCTTGGCTTCTTGTAGAATCATTTCCTCTATTTTTGTTTGCTTTGAATCATTCTCCACTTTGCACATCTCCCCCTTCCACCTTCTCTCCATCTGACATATCATGCAGACAGAGCTTGAATGAGTAACCTTTGCAAAGTTGCATCACTTGTGTGGAGGAAACAGCCATCTTATTTTCTGTCTCTTGCTGACCCCCTTGGCCTTTGTTAACAATGTAAAATACGTTTCCTTCCTGTTCACAAAGGATTAGATCAGCTATGGGTAAAACAATACGTGCACAGACAATACAGAAAACACTCCATCGCTTCACATTTGACCTAGATGTCTGTTTTAGAGTTTTGCCAGTCTTCCGTCTTTTAGGATATCGAGAGGGATTCAAGCACTTACCGGATATTTAGGTTTTCACAATTAAAATGCATTGTCTCTTATTTTGAAATTATTAAAACTGTTAGTTGCTTTTTCTTGCCCAGGGCAACCGAAAGTGTCTTACAAGCCAACGAAATGTTGCAGGCTTGGATTAAAGGTGCATATTGGGGACTGATCAGGTTGAATGCTATAACAACGCATTATCATTGTGCGCACGATAGTTTCCAAAGTACAGTGGTACCTCGGAAATCGAACAGAATCCGTTCTGGAAGTCGACTTCCAAAATGTTCAGAAACCAAGGCACAGCTACAGAAGCCACAGAAGCCCCATCAGACGTTCGGGTTCCAAAGAACGTTTGCAAACTGGAACACTCACTGGTTTGCGGTGTTTGGGAGCCAAAACGTTAAACTTGCAAGGTGTTCAGGATCCAAGGTACGACTGTATAGGAGGACAGATCCCTGCCATGAGGAGGTAACAGTGCAAAACTCCATATAGAAAAGAACCATGAGACCAGGTTCCAACATTAAGGCAAGATAGACTTTTGCTTGTTCCTGGCAGCAAATGCAGGAAGAATTGTGGATTGGGAATTTTTCAGCAGTGGTACCTCAGGTTACATATGCTTCAGGTTACATACACAGTGGTGCCCCGCAAGACGAATGCCTCGCAAGACGAAAAACTCGCTAGACGAAAGAGTTTTCCGTTTTTTGAGTCGTTCCGCAAGACAAATTTCCCTATGGGCTTTGCTTCGCAAGACGAAACGTCTTGCGAGTTCTTGCGAGTTTGTTTCCTTTTTCTTAAAGCTGCTAAGCCGTTAATAGCCGCTAAGCCGCTAATAGCCGTGCTTCGCAAGACGAAAAAACCGCAAGACGAAGAGACTCGCGGAACGGATTAATTTCGTCTTGCGAGGCACCACTGCACTTCAGGTTACAGACTCCGCTAACCCATAAATATTACCTCGGGTTAAGAACTTTGCTTCAGAATGAGAACAGAAATTGTGGGCGCAGCGGCAGCAGGAGGCCCCATAAGCTAAAGTGGTGCTTCAGGTTAAGAACAGTTTCAGGTTAAGAATGGACCTCTGGAACGAATTAAGTACTTAAGCCGAGGTACCACTGTATGCTGCACATTCACATGAAGCCATCACCTGTTTCAAGCTATGGTTTAATGCAGGGGTCAGCAAACTTTTTCCGCAGGGGGCCGGTCCACTGTCCCTCAGACCTTGTGGGGGGCTGGACTGTATTTTTTGGGGGGAATCCCCCCCACAACTCTCCCCTCCCTTCTCCACAGCACTGAACAAGCCCCAGTGGCTGCGTACCTATGCCTTGCGAGTGGCAGGGGTTGGCGGCGGCAGTGGTAGCAGAGGGACGATGAGCGGCAAGAAAGGGCCGGCTCTGGACAGGGGCTGCTTAAAATGGCGTTCAGACAACCGCAGCTCAACAAAGCCCAGCCGCCTCCCTCCTCTAGGCAGGGCGGGGAGAAGCCAGAAGGAGGGAGGGAGGAGGCACCACCGTGGTGTGTGAGAGAGGGGGAGGGAGGGAAATGGTGCAGCCCGAATGATCAGAATCCACACGTCGATTCCCAGACCGTCCGCGGGCAGGATCCAGAAGGCAGTTGGGCAGGATCCGGCCCCCGGGCCTTAGTTTGCCTACCCATGGTTTAAAGTAAGATGGGAAGTAGACCACTCTTAGGCTTCATTCAAGCAAAGAATTGGGACCACTGCTTGGGAGATTGCTCATATCCCCACTACAAAATAAGGGATGCAAAAATATTTTTTTAAAAGAAGCACCTACTTCCACCTCAAGACACAACAATCAGAAGCCCTATTAAAGGTAAAGGGACCCCTGACCATTAGGTCCAGTCGTGGCCGACTCTGGGGTTGCGGCGCTCATCTCGCTTTATTGGCCGAGGGAGCCGGCCTACAGCTTCCGGGTCATGTGGCCAGCATGACTAAGCCGCTTCTGGTGAACCAGAGCAGCGCACGGAAACACCATTTACCTTCCTGCCAGAGCAGTAGCTATTTATCTACTTGCACTGCGTGCTTTCGAACTGCTAGGTTGGCAGGAGCTGGGACCGAGCAACGGGAGCTTAACCCATCGCGGGGATTCGAACCACCGACCTTCTGATCAGCAAGCCCTAGGCTCTGTGGTTTAGACCATAGCGCCACCCGCGTCCTATTACCTCCCTGCTATTTCTGGTCCTCCTCTTGTTTGTCTCACTCAAACATTTCCCCCTTGATTGCCATAGTGACTAGCTGAAACTTAAATCCTCTTCTGATTAGTGCAAATAATCTATCCGCTCATGTACAGTGCAAATCTACACAGAGAAGGAAAAAAAACGGAGGGAAAACCCAAAATAGCCTAAAGAAGGATTTAGTGGGTGGGTGGAGGGGGCAATATTTTCATTCCAACCTTGAATGAACAAATGTGACCCTTTTCCCAGTGAGGAATTTGAAGAATTTATCTGGTTTCCTGAAGGCCAAGTGATTGCTCTGTCTTCTTAGCTCCAGTTGCCATTGAGACAAAGTGAAATTGTACCTTGGCATACCAGAGGACTCAACGTAAATGCATGGGATCGACTTACAAACTCCACCCAAACAACCCCAAAACTTCACCCTGGCATGGAGTGTGGGATTGCATCGTTTATGCTGTGGGTAAAGGATTTATTTATCTATAAAAAGCATTTATATACTGCCATCTCGTAAAACTTCAGGGTGTTGCACAGCTATACGCAGACAATAAAACATGAAAAACCATTGGGGGGAAAAAAGAGTACAAAATAACTCATAAAATGCCTGGCTTCTCAAGAAGATGGTAAACAGCTATGGAGGACTCAAGAGAAGCCTGAAAGCCAAGAGTGAGGGTGCCTGTCAAATCTCTGGTGAAAGGGTTTTCCATAGCATGGGATAAACATTAAATGCTTAATTTCTGTTTGTTAAGGAGACAAGTCAGGAGATGAGGAAGGATTTTGTTAGCTTATTTATCTTGCTTTCTATTCAATTGCATGGGTGTATATTCTGTATTTATTGACATGCGTAAATGTTCTTAATTTGTCTGTTGGGGTGGAATTGTTATATTTGTTGCTGTTCATATGATATGTTATGAGCGGCCTACAAATAAACACAGTGGTACCTTGGTTCTTTTTTCTTCTTCTTTTTTGTACCATGGTTCTTGAACGTAATCCGTAATTCCGGCACCCCGTAAACAATAGCCGACAGCCGCATCAGACGTTCGGCTTCTGAAAAACGTTCGAAAACCAGAACACTTATTTCTGGGTTTTCGGCGTTAGGGAGTCGAAATGTTTGAGTACCAAGGCCTTAGAGAACCACTGTATATTGATGGTGGCTTTTTTTAAAGAATGGAATAAAAATCAAAGGGATGGTTTGCAAAATGAGACGTGAGACCCAATTAAAGCCACTGGGCTCTTTGCCATTTATTGCTGCTTATCAAGGCTGCGGAGGAGAGTATCTGACCTGCCCAAAAATCTACAGGAATGTGTGGAGAAACCTGTCCCAGGGACCCTCAATTTCTCTTTTCAAAACCGTGGCTTTCCCCCTCCCAAAGAATCCTGTGAACTGTAGTTTGTTATGGGTGCTGTGAAGTTGTTAGGAGGGCCCTATTTCCCTCGCAGACCTACAATTTCCAGAGTTCCCTGGTAAGAGGGATTGGTTGTTAAACCACTCTGGAAATTGCATAGCTCTCTCTTAGCATCCTTCAACTACCGTTCCCAGGATCCTTTTGGGGAAGCCATGGCTATTTAAAGTGGTATGATACTGCTTTAGAAGCATAGTGCAGATGGGGCCCAAGTTTAACCCCTTATGTGACACAGACCCAGTAATAATAATAATAATTTATTACTTATACCCTGCCCATCTGGCTGGGTTTCCCCAGCCACTCTGTTGCCGTCGCTAAGTGCCTGGAATGGGAATTAAAAAAAAAATACTTCCAAAATGCACGCTGCCACTCTAAATGGTTGTGTCCCGTGCACCCCGACCTTGAACACAGCTAAAGCCATAGCTAAATTAATAGATTTGATTGTGAATTTAGGGAACACAGCCAGCCAACACCAGTAGTTTAGCTCCTGGACAGGAGAGAGTGCCGGAATCTAGGTCATGTGGGCACAGTCTTCCTTACTGTGGCAACACACCCTCCAACATTTCTCCAATGAAAATAGGGATGTCTTATTCAATCATAATAATAATACTGAACTCCAGGCCTACCTGGTGGCAAGTTCCCAGTCCGGGGTCAACCCACATGTCCAAAGTCCAAACTGAAGCATAGTCCTGCAGAAATCCTGGAGCAGTCAAGCCAGTGCCAGATTACAAAATAGGCAGCAGCTTACAGGCCCCACGCCTTTTAGGAGTCCTGCAACAAAAGATCAAAATAACATTGATTTGACCTGGAAAGCAAATTACAAACAAGCTTTCTTAGTTCATTGGGGTGGGGCTGAGATTCTGACCGCTTAGGGGCCTCCATAGGGTTTAATCTGGCGCTGATCCAAGCTGAGGTCCACCAACAAGAGTGTTAGAGCAGACACAGCACCTCAGCTCTGCTTCCCTTTTACACTTTGCATGCTGATTGCAGCATCTGGACTTGATGAGGCCTGTGACCCTCACCTGTCCCAAACCTAATCCAGCAATCACACACCTCCTCCCAGATCTAGCGAGCCTCACCTGGTCAGCCAGGGAGCTGGGCTGTGGGGCCTTGGCTGTGTGATAGGAGTTTTGAAGTCTTAGATATATGGTAATGTTCATTAGCGTACCAACCAAGCACATACATAGATCAGCACAGGAAGACCGACCTGGAACCATTTTTGATTCCCAAACTGTCCCAAACTGAGCAAATGTTTTCTCTGCAAGGTCAAAGTGGGAAACCTCCCCATTGTCTCTTTCCTCACAAATCCCGTCTTAAGGGCACATTTAAGAAATGAATAGGGTGTGAGCCTGTGACCTGGCCCAGGAACTAAGTATTTATCATTACAAAAGATTGGCCAGGCTACCCAGGCAATCCAATCAAGTAACCATTCAAATTTCTGCTTTAGACCGCCTTTTCTGTGATGTAGGTATGATGTATATGAGGGGTGGTCTTAGGTTACACCCCTTCTGTGATGTATGTATGATGTTTCTGGGGGTGGTCTTGATGTAGTAAGGTAAAGGTACCCCTGCCCGTACGGGCCAGTCTTGACAGACTCTAGGGTTGTGCGCTCATCTCACTCAAGAGGCCGGGAGCCAGTGCTGTCCGCAGACACTTCTGGGTCACGTGGCCAGCGTGACAAAGCTGCTCTGGCGAGCCAGTGCAGCACACGGAAACGCCGTTTACCTTCCCGCTAGTAAGCGGTCCAAGGGACGCGGGTGGCACTGTGGGTAAAAGCCTCAGCGCCTAGGGCTTGCTGATTGAAAGGTCGGCGGTTTGAATCCCCGCGGTGGGGTGCGCTCCCGTTGCTCGGTCCCAGCGCCTGCCAACCTAGCAGTTCGAAAGCACCCCCGGGTGCAAGTAGATAAATAGGGACCACTTACTAGCGGGAAGGTAAACGGCGTTTCCGTGTGCGGCTCTGGCTCGCCAGAGCAGTGATGTCACGCTGGCCACGTGACCCAGAAGTGTCTCCGGACATCGCTGGCCCCCGGCCTCTTGAGTGAGATGGGCACACAACCCTAGAGTCTGTCAAGACTGGCCCGTATGGGCAGGGGTACCTTTACCTTTTAGTAAGCGGTCCCTATTTATCTACTTGCACCTGGGGGTGCTTTCGAACTGCTAGGTTGGCAGGCGCTGGGACTGAGCAACGGGAGCGCACCCCGGCGCGGGGGTTTTACCCACAGCGCCACCCGCGTCCCATAGGTCTTGATCTACAGGGTGGCAATTTCAAAAGTATGTATAAGGCCTTGCGCGCCATTTTTCTGGGTTCCTCCTCTCTCTTGCAGGTGAGGGGAGCACCCTGTTGCAACAGATCAATCAAGATCAAGCTTACGAGCTGCTTTGCTTCTCAATATTCTCTGGTTGGCCTCTGTTATTTTCTCCTACCAATAGGGAACCTATGTAAGGACACTATATGGGCTCTTGGGTACCCCTTAAGGGAAAAGGGCAATTTTTGTTTACAACAGCTGCCTCAGCCTCCTGGACTGCCCCTCTCGCTGCTCCCTATGCCTCAGAGCCCACTGTGTTTGTGGAGACAGGGGTCCCTCTGGCTCTGGGTCCTGCTGCTCTGGTTCTTGTGAACTGACCCCCATTCCCTTGCCATTCTCCATCACCCAGTGAATACTTCCTTCCCTGTCCCCTGCTTGCCCCGGTGTGTCCCAGTCCCTGGGATCATTTTCCTCCTCTTCTTCCTTCCCATCGGCCTGCCAATTCATGACAATAATGCGCTCCCAACCTATATAAAAACAGTTGGATAATGGATAACGTCTAAATATAGCCCTTTTATGTGGAATAGGCAAAATCACAGTTCTTTTTTCTTTAAAGAACATTGTTGGGGGCATTGTCATTGAGAACATTTTGCAATGAACCTTACCCTTCCAAGAAGCAAAAAATGTAATTTTCCTCATCTACAATTAAGAATTGAGGCATTAAAAAAGCCTTGTTCCAAGGTAGACTTTTTATGTGGCTCATATGAAAATAATTCTCAATATGATGATTCCAAATTAAACAGCAGTTGTTTGGACAAGTGCTTGGAGTTTAATTTATTCCTATGAATGTTTGAGACTTCTCTGGTTCTACCTCATTTGAACTCCAAATTGCAATCTGCCTGCACAGATTGACAGAGCTGCAGCTGCAAATGAGTTTACTTTGCAATCAGAGGAGTGTGGCAGAGAATCCTTTTATGCCCAAATAAACAGGTGAAAATTGGTCTAGAAATTGCTCAAGGAGTAATCCACCCAGTGACTGGAGCCATGGGAACAAGGCCTTAAAGCTGTTTAATGAGTGAGAGAATTGGCACAGTTTCTATAGTAATCTGGTCAGTGTCTAAACTGGCCACTTAATGCACTGGAGAGAGAGAGATACGGATGGGGGGGGGGAGAGAGAGAATGTATCATAAAAAAGAGGATAGATATTTGCATAACCCACATGTGCTGCTTTATATGCATAGCTTTCAATTTAGAAATAATTGCTATTGTAGATACTCAAGCAGTGGATACACCACACCACAGACCCTTTTCCAAGGACAGTCCCGGATTTACAGAAGCCATCCTGGTTTCTAATTTGATCCCAGAATGTCCCACTTTTCCTTAGGGGGTCCCTATTTTTATTGGTGAAATGTTTGAAGGTATGGAAGGGTATTTTTTGAAGGTGACCCAGAAACTACAATTAATCCAGAATGCGGCGGCTAGACTGGTGACTGGGAGTGGCCAAGACCACATATCACCGGTCCTGAAAGACCTACATTGGCTCCCAATACGTTTCCGAGCACAATTCAAAGTGTTGGTACTAACCTTTAAAGCCCTAAACGGCCTTGGTCCAGTATATCTGAAGGAGCGTCTCCACCCCCATCGTTCTACCCGGACACTGAGGTCCAGCGCCGAGGGCCTTCTGGCGGTTCCCTCACTGCGAGAAGCCAAGTTACAGGGAACCAGGCAGAGGGCCTTCTCGGTAGTGGCGCCCTCCCTGTGGAATGCCCTCCCACCAGATGTCAAAGAGAACAACAACTACCAGGCTTTT